ATATATATATATAGTTATTCAATCACAGCTGTTCCTCGCAATGCACTTCTTAGGCATATTCGCATTCAAATGGATAAAATAATTATGATTTAGAAACTTTTGCTTAAATATTTAAGAAATAGACAATTACCTATTACTTCCTACGGTGGATGAAAAGCAAACTATATGATTGTTCAGTTTATTTTCAAAACTTTCAATAAACTCCTCTTGCACCTTGTAAGCACCAATTGAAGACACTCCTTGAATCGATTCCAACAACTGACTGTAGATGGGTGATTTTGTTGTAGATTCTAGTCTTCTGATTTGCCGATAAGTGTTCAGATGCAGTTTCTGAAAAGTTGATTCTTTCGTTTTAAAGTAATTTAGTAGAATCGCAATTAAATAACTTTAGTGTTTTAAAAAGGGACTTACTAGAAAAATATAGTAAAGGACGCCAAGAGGAAGAAGTGAAGCCAGAAAAATGGGAGCATTTCTTCCAATAATGTAAAAGGATGCTAGAACGTAAAGGATGCAGTTTAACCATCCGTCAATTTGACCATAGAGTTCTGTATCTATAATATCCAAATCAGAGCTGAACCTGTGGAGAAAAATATTGAGTAATTTGTAAACTCTCATTAGGGTAATTCAAACTCCTTGACTGTTTAATATCGCAAATCAATTGAATCTATTTCATCCTGATACTGGAAAAATATTATATATGGTATCTACAAGGGGAAAAAATTACTTTAAAACAATGCACGGTTCAGTTTTGTTCAAAATACATTTGTTAGATCTTTGTAACTGTGGAAATTCTAAAAAGATAATGGATAAAAATACATTTAAACATTTTCATCATAAAAATATATATAAAAATAATTGTTGTTCTAAATACACTTCTGAATACATTGTTCTAAATACAATGTTAGATCTTCGTTACTGTGTAAATTCTAAAAAGATAATAGATAAAAATATATTTAAACATCACATTCTATAGGTGTCTCAAAAATAGCACTTTAATGAGTAACATCAAATTAATTCAAAGTTTTCCTAATTTCGCAATTTATATAGATAATATTCATCTAACTTGTATCAGTCTTCTATCAATGCAATACGCTTACTAAACTTATTGGTGATTGCAAAAAGTTTTATGATTAATATTTAAAAATAAGAAATGTATTTTGGAGTATGATTTTTGCTACCAGTTAAAAAGTTTAGGCGGAAGTTTGGCAATCTTGATCATACAGAATTTCTTTGCTAGTATGAGATTAGTATTTTTCAGTGTATGTTTACTTCATAACTTGTAATAAATTGCTAGCAAATTTTGAGTCTACCATTTGAACCATTACAATTGAATCATAATTCCTGAAAAAATAGATTTTTATATAAAAAGTTGCTCTGGTGGGTGATTTGTTTTGCTTAATATATGATTTAAATTCCCAACCAATGAATTTTATAAGTTTTGTTCTTGCTTTCACAAATTTATTGCTTTTGAATAATTTCTTAATCGTTATATAAGTTGATCACTCTTAAAATATATATAACCGCAAGCATTGTATAATGCTTTCTAGGGTGCAAAAATCTAAATCCGGAAACAGAAAAACGATGCATAAATTTAGAGAATGTCCAATTTTCGCAAAAAATCCAAACAAACAATTCTAAATGAACGTTACACTAAATAATATCATAATAGTTTGTATATAGTTATAGTCATAATAATATGTATAATAGTTGTAATAATATAGTAATAGTTTGTTTTAATGCGTGGAACTTAGTAAAATCGGAAAGCTGAAATTTTTAAAATTCGGAAAAAAATCATATGGTTAATGCATTGTGAAAAAATGATAACAAAAATTGATATTAATTTGATTGATTTTCATTGTCGAAACTTTAGTTTAGTTAAATTTATCGTCTCGTAAAATGTAGTTGAAATTTAATACGAAGAAAGCAAATAGTTTTCTCTCGTTAATGATAATTGATTTCATCTGCCCTTTAATTTATTCAAACAATATTAGTTATATATATATAAGTACAATATAATTTGCAAATAAATTATAATGAATTAATAATTTTAATGATTTTTTTCTTATATGTACTGTTTGTATCAAAGATTGAAAACTTTCACCCTTTTGATATTTTTATAATACTAAACGGTACTATTTTGAAAGTTAATAAACTGGTTGCCATTCCATTCCAAAAATAACAAATCTGTTCTTACACTTGACTTGAGAGTTTCCTTGAATAAGGAAGACTGCGTTATTTTAATTTTAAAAACACAGCAGGGTGAAGACTTCCTGACTAGAAAGCGATTTTCCATTCCAGCGGCTTTTAACAACCCTGTCTCCCGTTGAACATTTTCTTAAATAAAAAAAAACTTGATTCCTGTCCTTTTTTTCTAGCTCAGGTAACAAATTTTAAAAGAAAAAAAAAGCTTGAATTATAACTGCGACCAACTACAGCCAATAGGAATATCTTCAAAAACTACATCTAGTCATTAGATCAAGTCCGCCAGACTATAAATTAGTGACCAGGAATTCACCTTGATTTCTAACTATTCTTTTGACTTCTGATCTACTCAACTTCTGACAATTTAACTTTAAAGAGACTGAAAAAGGCAAATTTGGTCAATTGCATATTTTTGTGTGTAGATCAATTAGATATTTAACATTTTTAAATGTAATCATAATAAAGTAAATAAAACAAATTATAGACTTTATCATCGGAATTCTATGGTTTTTTATTCGATTTGGTTAACAAAAATATTTGATTAAAGAGATCATCGGGATTCCTATTCTCTATAAATAATAATTATAGATATGTTGAAATAAAACTGCTTTTCTTTAAAGAAATTTTGTTTTAATGAAACTGGGATGCTGGTCTCTCGTACTAGCGGTACCATACATCGGTCACTATTAATCTTATGAAACTGGGATACCTTGAACCCAAAATTACTTAGGGTTATGGAATACAGACTAAAACACCTACGAGGCAACTCTGGTCTTTCCCGTTATTCTAGGTTTAACGTTTTATACATACGTTTTTACAAGGCTCACACGTGAATGATTAAATAAGTACTTAAATTGAATCTAATTATGAAAAATCAGAAGTACTCAACACTTTCAGTAAGTTATTTCTCAAATTACAGATCAATAAGAAAAAGGGACCAATATGGCCGTCTTTCTAATATTAACTTCCTTTACAAAATGTTGAACTAATAAATTTCTTTGACTTCAAACAGGAAAATTCTCTCCACTTGGGGACAAGGAGGTTTTGTTGAATTCCGACAAGGAAGTAACCTTTACCTCAAACTAAGAGGTTATTGATAAAAGTTTCAAAACAAAACCACCTTTAATACATATCGCTGGTTCAAAACTAAAACAACACATCTGCAAACTTAGTATTATGCCTGCAGATGTGTCGTTCTAGTTTTGAAGCAGCGATATGTTGTCTTCGGCTTAAAAAAAGAAACAGGAAATGGACAACAAATTTTTGTGCTTAAATAAGTAATAGAAAAAATGCAATAGAAAATTAAACCTGTTTGTAATTCTTCCCATCGGTGTGCTATCGAAGAAAGACATCGGAGATTTTATAAGACTGTTCAGCATTTTGTTGTGAAACCGAGCGGCTGCGGTAATCACTCCATGTGCTAAAGACAAACTTCCTATGATGACGAAAATCGCTAAAACAAAAATTAAAAGAGTGGTACTTCATTTCTTTTTCTCCAATTATGTGGAAAAGAATTCAAATATGAGATTATAAAGTCGCTAAATATTAATGTTATTTTAAATGAAGGAATGTGGTGAATATAGTGATGAGACACGTTTTCCAAGGAGCGATATTTCGTCATCATACTGGTGCTTCGTACTGTTTCCACGTAGGTACTTAAAAAGCGTAGAAAAAAGTAACTACATGATGACAAAATATACAATAGCAACGCTTTGCGTGCATGGAAATCGTTGTGTTTTGGGACGTTCATAAAAAATGCTCTCTTGTACAATTTGAAAATGTGACTCATCATTGTATTGACCTTTAACTGTTCATATCACAGTTGTTTACCAAATATAAATATTTTTAATGCTTATTTAAAAACGCATAGCTTTCGAGTCTCTTGATTTTTGAGGGAGATTTGTTTCTTATATTGAAAATGGTAACAAAATGTTCGCGTTAAAAGCTATTTCTTTGCTTCACCAAGTTGATATGCAATGATTTTTATCACCGTTCCAGATACAGGGCTGCCAACTTCCCATGCCGTTTGGAAAAATTTCTTCGAGTGGCAGTTATAACCTTCGATGAGCAGCCAACTCAATTTGGGTTTATGACTACTTATGCTTAACTCCTTAGCCTTGAAATTTTGAACCCAATTCGGAAGACAATGGCATACCTGCCAACCCATATTCCTTTCGAGGAAGATTTTCCCCAGTGGTAGTAAAATGGAATTTAATTTACAATATTAGGCAGAAACATACATTGAATTTTGAAAAAGCTTATGTGGAATAACACGTTAGTATTTAATTATTTTAAAAATTGTGGTGGTCAAAAAGATTATATAATAAATTTATAAATACAAGGAATATATAAAAGGCATACATTTTACAACCTCTTTAAAAATAGAAATAAAATTTTACGCTAAATGCGTAAAAGTTGGCAGGTATGCAATGGATCTCCTGGATCAAGCATAGGGAGAAATTAGCCTCCCTGGAGGACTTTTTGATGCAGCTAACCCGCATTTGCTGTACATGGAGATGAAAACCACGAGAACCTGCCACGGATAGACTGACGGCAAGGGGACTGTATCAGCAGTCGCTGAGATTCAATCCCCTTCACCTCATTTGAATGCGAAATCTCTATCTCTTGATCCGCCAGAGCTGTCTTAGAGTGGAAGTTAAATTTATGTTTTTATATATGTTTCTTGTAAGGCTACTCTTTACACCAATATACGTAAATGACACGAAAGTTCGTACGAGACACCACTCTATTGCTCTCTCATGGGAAACTTTTAAAATGTCCCCGAAATTTCCAAAATTTCTGCAAGATGCACTTTTCGCACATCAGAAATGCTTCCGTGGCTCTCACACCACCTCAATCACAGTACCTTTATAACTAGTAAAATGGGTTATCTGAAGGGGAGAAGCATGGATGCACAATTGGTACTTTTTCAGATTGGCTGTAATCGTCGTCTTTTACAGTCGAATATTTAGTTCCGTCAAAATAAATAGTGAAGATATTTCGAATATCGAAAAACTCGCAGAATGCACGACGATACGGCTTGCAGTGAGCACACGGAAAATTTGCATTTTTTGTCCTTTTGAGAAACGCAGAATGACAAAACTATTGCAACAAGGCTATTTATGGAAGAGCACATTTCTAACATGTACCGTGAGTGCAAACAATAATTTTTGGCATATTTCCATTTTTCAATTGAAATGTTATCACACTCTTCTCAGGTTACTCTAATTTGTTTGAAGTAATTGAAAGAAATATAAAAATATGAATGTTTTTAATTCTATCAATTTATTGATGAGTTGCAAATTAAAACAGATTTAAATTTAGTTATCTAGGGTTAATATTGAAAAATATTATCTCATTACCTTGTCCTAAGCCTAACGCGCTATAAATTTCCAATCGATAAGTAGTGGAAGAACTATGTGTTCCGTTTACTACAGGATCTGTGGTCCATTTTCCTAACCAAATATTGGCATAGGTCTAAAAAGAAAAGCAATCACTTAGAAAATAGCCATTTTATATAATGTTTTTTATAACTCTTAGGTACTATCCTTTCTTGTTGAGTAATTTTGTGGTCTGCAAATAGCCTCAGTCATTTTGCACTGTAGCAAGCTAATTAGGAAGTTTCAGGCTGATTGCAGTGAGCCCGAATATCTATATGCTAATTTGAAAGTACATCTTAGATAACCTGATTTATTCCAGGCTGTGTGCAATAAGCTAAGAATATAGTAAAGACTTATTGTAAATAGCTTCACAAAAAGTTTTTTTAAAGAAGGCATTTTAAACTCAGTCCCTGATTGAGTTATTATTCGCTTATTTCTAATTTGCTTATATTCTTATAAGATAATTGTAATCAGTTTGATAAATATCAGGGAGATTAGAAATTAGTGAAGATTTTTCCAATTAGCCTGAAGTATTGTTGACGGACAGCGGTATTTACAATGAGCTGGAGTTATCAGTTCGACATCACATCTTAAAAACATTCAAAGTGAAAAGAATTTTATTTCAGGATTTTCAATTCTGAACAAACATTAAATAATTTGATTTTATTAAATATTACGAAATCTTAATTCCTGTATGTCGAAAAACCTGACATCATAATGAAAATTTAAAGGTTTTACAGAAAATAAAACAAGTTTAAGAAAGCGCATTAAAATTATGTATTAAATTTTAAAACTAAAAAATGCACAAATAAAATTAATTAGCTTTTAAGTTCTTTTGCTAGCTTACGTATTTTCCACAAGAGCACTTAATACTTTTTATACAGTTTTTGTTCAAATTACGCCTAAATTTTCCACGTGATAGTGTTGGTAAGTTAGGTTGACTTTGCCACACAAACACTATGAAAGATGGTCGTTGATTTGGGCAGCAAAAAACTACCAAAAAGCTTCACATTTACATAAAACATCTACAAAAGACATATAAGTTCATTAAGTCAGGCTCTCTAACATTTTCAAGAAGTTTATTTAATGTCTATGTATTTTTGAATTTCTCTTTTAACGTGAGTTATTAATGTTATGTGTTTTATGAGACTTCTGCATTAAGTAAACGCTTCAGTTAAATCCTTTAAAAATGAATTTTCATCGAAAATGTTTTGAAAAACATAGATATTACACACACAAAATTACACACACATATTCTGACTTCAATAATAGAAAATTTAGTACTGAAAGTTAGCATCGACTACTATATTCATGCAAATGTTAAAAAAAAATAAACTTGAATAAAGAAAAATATATATTAATTATAAAATATTAATATATAAAGGACCTCCTGTAAAATACACTCTAAGGCAAAAAAATTGACGCACCAAGAAGGAGTTGTCCGATTGGTGGATAGGAAGACAATGTACAGAATAGTAAATGATTAAAATTTCAGAACAATTGAATAATTTATTGCAGAGTTACAGTAACAAGTTCAATAAGGTGTTGACCCGCCTCTAGCCTGGATACAAGCTGCCACACGGCGTGGCATAGACCGATAAAGCTCCCGGATGGTCTCTTGCGGTATTTCCTGCCAAATTCGATCCAATTGTCGAACGAGGTCATCAACATTCCGTGCCAGATGCAATCGCCTTCCCATCATATCCCAGACATGCTCGATGGGAGAGAGATCTGGTGATCTGGCAGGCCAAGGAAGAGTTTGACAAGCTTGCAGACAGTTCATAGCAACACGTGCCGTATGTGGTCTGGCATTGTCCTGCTGAAAAACCAGCCCAGGGCGCTGCAAAAGGAACGGTAGCAAAACAGGTCTTAGGATGTCGTCGACGTACCGCTGTGCAGTAAGTGTACCTCTAATGACGACCAAAGGGGTCCGGCTGTCAAAGGAAATGGCACCCCAGACCATAATGCCTTGTTGAGGGCCGGTGTGGCGTGCAATAGTGAAGGCAGGATCCCCCCTCTGCCCTGTGCGTCTCCAAGCACGCCTTCGATGATCGTCAGGACACAGTTGGAAGCGGGATTCGTCGCTAAAGACTATACGTCCCCAGTCGGCATCATTCCAGCCTGATCTGTTCAAAACATTCATGCATACGAAATTTCAAAGCAATCGGATGATTGCTTCTTGGTGCGTCGATTTTTTTGTTATAGCGTGTAGCTTGAATGAATTGTATTTTATAAGTTTTTAATGAAAGTAATTTTCTAAAATTTTTGTAACTTTTTTTACATTAAATATATATAACCATATATTTAATCTTACCTCCATTATAACGTAGCATAAATATCCAAATATAGTTAGAACCCATAAAGGGCAACTCATGTTCTTCATATAAGTCCAATACACGTGGCGATGTACCTGCAATCAAAAATAACTACGTAAATGTTTTATTGACACAGTTATTATGAACCGAGTATTTTTGATTGTATATTATACTGCAAATGCACGACTGGAGATTGCTTTACCAGAATAACAAGACCAAAAGCGTTACTAACGAAATATGTCATGTCTTAATATGGAAAGAAAAATCACCAGTGCTCAAAATGTTAGGAAGTGGTAACACTTTTAGTTGATTTTCTAAAAAAAGGTTCCGATGAATCGGTAAATTTTAATAACCCATGCTATTTTAAAACATAGCAGACTCCATTTGGGCACCTTTTGAATAAACATTAAAAAAAAAAGCCTTTGACTGGAAGTGCAAGTCAAGATTTTATTTTAGCTATTGCAATATTATCGTTGTATGATACCAATATTGTATAATACCAATATTATCGTTGTTTTATTTTAATAATTTACGAAGTAATTGTGATTGGCATTGAATACAAATCTTCTAAACCATGATTGATTAATCGTAATAACGACTAATATATTTTAAGAAAAATAGAATGAAAATGAAATGTGTTTGCTACCACGTATTGCAAGATCTCTGAAATCACATGTAAACATTTCATCCAAAATATAATGTTTTGCACACACAATGTATACGTAGCACAATGTATACATTGTGCTGCCCAAAATAAAGCAAACAAATGTGATTAAAACATTGATGGAAGTTGTAGTAAATAAGTTTCTGTAGTAAAATCAGTTTCTGTTCCGTAAATAAGATAAATACTGTTAAATAACCATATATGGCAGTACTTTTACTTTCGTTACTTGTACCGCCGGAACAAGTAAAAAGTACGTACTTTTACTTGTACTTCGTTACTTTTTAAATTTAGTACTTTTACTTGTACTTTCGTTACTTTTTTAGGGAAAAAGTACAAGTATTTGTAACGGAAATGTCGAATAAAATCGTTACCTTTTCTAAAACTCGGTAAGCTTTCTAAAAAAAAAAAATTTATTAAAAAAAATGCTTATGTTTCTTTATTTTATAAAACTAATGTGCAATGTATATGCATTCACAGCTAACTTCTTGTTTAAATACCTTGACGTTTTAAAATTGTCATTCCTGAAAGGGAAAAGACGGCGCTTTCGATCTTTTTTGGACTGCAACTATCATTGTGAATGTGGTGTTCTCCAGAATTGTGTTTCCAGAATATTCATCTTCTGAAAATTGCCTGTGATAAAGGATGACATGAATAGCAAAAGTTTTGAATACCAGTGGTTATCGTCTCAAGGGGGGTTGGAATGAACAAATGCCCATATGAATACNTTTTTTTAAAAATACTTGTACTTTTACTCGTTACTTTTTAAAAGTAACGTTGCCATATATGTAAATAACACCTCATCTGAGTCCAAGCATTAAATGACAGTAAAAAAGTGACGAGACAAAATCGTGCCATGTGATTGAACCAACAGAGACTGTAAAAAAAGCTTGGACAAAATTATAAAAGGAAAAGAGGAGGGGGGGAGTTTGAAGGTGTGGTTTGGTGGGCATTTCTTGCCCTCAAAATTTTTAAAAAAATTAGTAGAGATCCCCAAATATTGAGAAAAGATGTGATTCGAGAAAGATTATTAACTTAATTATGAATTTTTTTTTCAATATGGAATGATTCCCAAAATTCAAGGTCGGTTGATGAAGAGCAGTATTTAATTGTTTCAGCAGAATAAAACACAAACAGAAGTAAATTGTTAGAATCAAAATTTCCTGCTAAAAAATCTGATGTAAATTATTTAAAGTTATCCAAGTTGATTTTTTTATCTACCTCACTGCTTGTTTCCCTTCTTTCTTGTAAATGCATCTAATCTTATAAAAATATTTTGTTACTTGCAATGGGTTTATATTTCTTTTTAACAGAAATTATCCATCAACAGAAGAATTATGCTTAATTACAAATATAAATTTAAAAACTATCTCCCTATATTAAAAAATTAAATATAACGATTTTTTATGCTACTTACTTTTCCAACTTCCATTCTCTCATCTTCAATCAATCGATACGTTTTTTCGGCGTCTCTTGCGTCAAAAGATGCAATTAATTTTTGTTCTTTACTCAAGCCATCGTCTGAAGTTTTTGAATAAGCAGAATCAGTAGATACGTATCTGCAGAGCATTCTAAATATCAAATGTAAATATAGATGATATGTAACGTATTTTGTTAAAAAGTTATTTCATTGTAACAGATAAAGGTTACATGGTAGATATTAAAGTTACTATGGAAATCTAAAAAGAAGCTGAAATTAAAGTATAAATATAAAAAACCAAAATGAATAAATAAACAGTTAATTTTAATATTTTGTTAAAACATAACTAAAAATATTCCTGAGCAACAATGAATTTTTTAAAGACATTGTGATTTATTTATTATATGATTTATGTGTGAATTATTTATTTATTGATCTATTATGTTTTGAGAATTTCAAGGATAATATTATGGATATTATTACTTATATCATTATGGAAATGATTTAATATGTTAAATTTTATATAGGTATATTGAAGTAATTTTTTACACATTCAAAATGTTTTCACCTATATATTAACAAAGATGACAAAATTCATCAAAAATTTTTCCTTTTATTTCCTCACCATTTTGGCGAGAATCGTGATCAACTTCCCACTACTGAGGAACTGCAATTTATTTTTTTTTGCTCTATTAAAGATGTTTTTTAAAACTCTTTTTTCCAATGGAAATAAATAAACAATAAAATTATTTTATTGGCTTAAGCTTGAGGCGAATCTATGAATTTAAAACATATTACAATTCTTTGTCATGTGAAAAATATTAAACTTTTTGTCCGTTTTATTTATCTATGGTATGAAACCGACAAAAAACGTAAATACCTATAACGCTATTAAACATTTTTTTTTAAAACATTGTCAATTTTTAGAAATTTTCAACCTAAACAAAAATTATTTTAATTATCTGATATTTTTCACTTTTTGCACATAATATGAACCCAAATCATATTGTGGTTTTAACTGTCAAAAGAAAAGGACCGGAAGTGGATTATTTTTGCAAAAATTGTGAGTTTTTTCCATATCGACAAATATCCTACAAGTTAACGGATTCTGGTTAATCAATTATAAAACTTCATTTAACTCTCATATAGCTTTTACAATTTCGTAGTAGTTATAAAATATAAAAATTTCATATTACTCAATTAAAAAAACTATATATATTTCATACAACGGCAGAGCTCCACTTCTATGTTTCTCTTTTCGCTTTTAGTTTGTTTCTTTCTGCTTTGTGTAAATAAGAAGAGTTATTCCTGGTAGCAAAGGAAAAACAAGACCCGATTTTCTTTACAAAATAGAGCGTCGATCAGTAATAAATATTTCAGAATAGCCAAAGAATATAATAAAGAATATAGTAAACATAATTATAACTTGTTCTACTTCTCATTTTTCCAATGAAATACTAAATTTTTAAAGCAAATTTAATTGCGAATTTGAAAAAAAGCTAGCTGTTTGAACAAAATTTAAACTTCAAGGGATAACACAGCTTATAACGTAATAAGAACTGAAGATGAAAAGTTACTTTTTATCTTCCTCTGTGTTTTCCTCTAAATTCATTTGGCTTGTGTGTTCTTGAATAAATTCCTTAAAAGATCCATTTTGACTCATCAATTCTCGATAAGAGCCGGTTTCATCAATTCTGCCATCCTTCATGCTGACAATTATATCCACTTTATGCAGTACCGACACATCATGGGTAACGAGAATTCTGCTCTATAATCGAAAATTATAAATCATAAGAGTTAGCCATGAAATAAAGAACTGAACAGATACAAGTACCTGAAGAAACAATTTATGATTTTTTTTATCGACGTAGTACTAATAAGTATTGAAAAGTCGTAATGTCTATCAAATGTCGTAATTTTTAACAAAACTTAAGAATTCAGCAAAAGTTTAGATGTTTAAACATGATTCAACTCTTCTTATATAGTACAAAGCTATTTACAGTTACTGATAATTTATTAATATCTTACTTTTTTTCTCAGTAATCCATCGTTTCCAATGATGTCATCGAAGAGTGCTTTACGAACGTGAACATCCACTGCACTGAGTGTGTCGTCCAGGAGGAAGATGTCTTTGTCTTGATATACAGCACGCGCCAAACTGACACGCTGCTTTTGACCGCCACTCAAATTTACTCCCTACAAATCATAAAATAATAATAATAATAAGTACATTTATATTTACTTATAGAAATAAGCAGTACAAGTAAACCAATTTCTCTTCGTTACAATCAAAGTTAAGAAGTGGACTGGAAAAATTAAAAAATAATAAAAACCTGAATAAATTTAAATAACGATAATCGAATTTCTAAGGGCCAAGTCACAATCATCATGGTTTAAGAGGACGCCTTAACACGTGAGACACTTTTCGTCGCAACTTCTCTTCCTCCACCAAAACTAATTTAAAAATTTAGGAACAGAAAAAGTTTTTTATTTTTATTTCCAGTGTCCAACTTTTTAGAATAACCCACTTGGTCATCTAAGGGCATATTTGTTGGCCACTCTTTCATGGGCACCCTATAAGATGGGCCAACGTTGCTCCTACAATAAGGACAGATAGTACGAAGGGAAGAACATCCATGGCTTTCCCGGGATTCGAACCCAGAACCTTTCTGGTGCAAGGGCAGTTCCCTAACCCCTGCACAAGCCGGTCGGCAGAACAGAAAAAGTAAGTTCAAACAAACTGAAAGTATGCCATGAAGTTTCCACGAAGAAATTTTTTTAAACATCAAAACGAAATTAAATTATTAGAAGAAAACTTGCTATTACACTATTTAGAAATTATCTTCCACTAATTTGTTTGCAATTTGAAATTTTTAGAGCAATCAAAACGTCATGGCTTACTCTAGGTCAGTCTGTACTCACTTTCTCTCTCTTTCTAATTTTAAGTTCGTAATGGAGGTGAAAGTGAACTTACGGAGAAAAATTTCTCACCTGGTATGACGTCCTCTTAAGAGTTAGACCGTTCTGATGATCATATAGTACAGACAATATTTGGACTAACAAAATCAGGTAAAAAGCGTACTTTCTAATTTTGATCATTCCCATTTTTGACAGCTTTGGGTTTTTGAGACACAAAATATGAGACGAAGTCGAAATCGAGAAAAATGGGTTCCAATTTCTCCCGTTATGCCAACTAAAAAATGGGGACCATATTTTCCAAAATGCCACTATCTACATAGTTTAGAGGTTAGAAAACCGAATTAAAAAGAAACGTGAATAAAAAAGACAAACAATAAAACTTATGGTTTTCTGTATTCTGGTATGATAGAATTAATATTTCTATGACTACTGCAACAAGCAAAAGCCTAAAAACGTATGAGGAAAAAAGTATGTAAAGTTTATTCAGTGAAAACCCCAGCAGATATTATGAGATTTTTTTTCCTTAAGATTACTGTGTCCTGACTTATTTTCCGACACGTTGTTTAAGTAATCGTCATAAATTAAATTTTTCTTAATCAATAATCTTAAATCACAAATCTTGCTATCATTTAATATATAAGAATCAGCAAAAAGTGGTATTTAGGTAATTTACTTTCTTCGAAATAAATGTTAGTACTTAATCAATTGCTGTATTAAATTTTAAATTATTTAAACATAATTAACCCCCCTTTTAGCTTTTTATTAATTTTGTTTAACTAGTTAAATACGACTGCCGCGATATATATAATTTTATAATTAATTAGTAAAGCATACGAAAAATTTCCAGATTTTAGTATCTTCGATAGTATTACTTCTAATGGTACATTGGAAAACCAATACAATGTGCATAGAATGAAAAATTAACACAGAGTACTAAAAGTTCAAGAAAAAACATAAAACTACGTTGTCCATCCTAGGATGTAACAATGGAAAAACGTAAATCTAGGTGACTCGTGTTAGAGTGACAATGAAGATAAAAAAAACGTCATTTTATGTAACCCGTCCGCTAAGTGTTAATTTCATGTATATTACATTATACTTGAATACATACCCTCCAACTTATGAGGATTTTGAAAATAATTCTTTCTAGTGGTAGCGAACCAAAGTAGAAATTTTTAAAGCAAATGGATCTCTCATAAAACTTTTATCAGAACTTAAGAATCTAGCCATATGGCCTGCACTTTTATAAGTAATAGTGGACAAGTTACGCTAAAATTAATTTTTTTTTAAATATTAAGACATTAATTTTGCTACCGTCTGAAAAGAAGATTTCTGAAACTACGGAAATTCCGTAGCAGTTGGAGGGTATGCTTGAATAGATGACTAAACTCATTTCTCATAGTTTTAAGTTATTTGGAAGGAATTTTACCTTTTCACCAATTTCTGTGTTGTCTCCAGCTGGCAAAATTTCCATATCAGGCCTTAAGCAACAAAGATGCAAAACTTTATTGTATTTTCCTTCAACTAAATGCTTCATCATCAAAATATTTTCTTTAACTGTACGATTCAAAATCCAGGCTTGCTGTGGAACGTAAGCCAAACTTCCCTGGGAAAAAAGTCATGAAATAAAAATTTAAACTTTATGAAACACAATTACTTAATTAGTACTATATAATGGAACTAATCTTCGGGAAGTTTTTTTTTTATTTATTATGGGCATAGCTCAAAATGAGTATTTAAAAAAATACACCTCGAAATGTTTGTATAAGAGACTGGACATAGTCCAAATTGCGTTTTAAGTAAATTCGATGTTGCCTGAAACGCGTGTATAACAAAAGTGACACACTTCAGAATGCGTGTTTGAGAAAATGAACATAAAATTTGATTCCATTTTTTAAACATTAATATTTTTTGCCTCTCGGAGGCTGCGTGGTAGTGCTTCGTGCTGTCGTACCACAGATCTTGGTTCAGTCCTCTGGCCGGGCATGGTTGACTCAGCCTTTCATCCCATCAGTGGGTCGATAAAATGAGTACCAAGCATGATTTGAAACTAAACACTGGGGGTTCGGCGTTGGGCTGAAAACCCGATCGGAACATCTGCTCTTGCACAGCAGAGCCCAATGGTCAAGAAAACTAAGATGGGCTGAAGCGCCACTGAGTTTAGTTTAGTTTTAGTTGCAAAAATTGTTTCTATTTTTACGAACAAACTGATGGTTCCAATTAAATTCGTACTGTGATGTTATTCATTTACCGAAATCATGCTGTACGATTTTTTAAATTATTCGTTTTTTAAAACACAATGTAAGTCAATAATTGTATTTACAAGATTTTCACGGCTTCCATAAATTAATAATAGTCGTAATAAATTTAATTTATTTTGCAAACTTTTAAAAATCACTTTATGGTTTATCTGAATTACCACTTAATCTCAGTATGAAGACATAGCTGAAAAAGCTATATTTGTAATATAGCCAGCTACCCCGATCCCAAAGTCTGAGAATTTACTCCGTATTATTTATAGTGCTTAGTACTTGTAAGTATTCCTCATATGGTAATTAAGTTTGGATTGAACATTAACCCTCTCGCGCCGACTGTCACAAATACGTGCCAACATAAAACCGTATCAATCAGGGTAAAAAGATAAAACTGGTAATCAAAGTATTTCTTCAGCAGTTTATTTGTGGGCGGAGTTATAATTGTTTGATTTATCTAATTTACCATTACTTTGTTCAAAATAAAACTATTTAGTTATACTTTGATCCAACATTGATTATATATATGATTAAACTAACAATAATTAAAGTAAAAGCAAAGTAAGTCTGTCAAATTAGCAACGACTGCATTTAAGCTACCGTTTTTTATTTAATTACAACTTGATTCTGATTTTGTACGAATGCTTTTCTGAATCACCCGTCTCCAAGGGGTTAAAAGGTGAATTCTTAGCTGTTTTTTTTTAATTTTAGAGCTGTGTCAATTTTTAACACGCATTTTGAGCCGTGATTAAAATAAAAAGCACGCTGTTCCTTCCCATGGACGCTAACAGCTCACATGCGTTAATAGAGAGATTTAAAAAAAATATATATGCTCGTCTCAAAATATTTACTTTTATATCTACAGATCCATCCATTCTATTGATCTCTCCGAGAATTGCTGACAATAATGATGATTTACCCGATCCCACAGGTCCAATGACAGCAACCAACTTGCCTTTAGGTATATGCAACTCGATGTCATGTAACGTGCTCTCTTCTTCTCCTGGCCATCTGAATGACGCTTTTCTTATTGTTAAAATATCCCCTGCAGGATAGATTCTTATGTTATCTGCTATGTAAAATTTAGAAAAAAATCTAATTTTTATTCATAGTTACAATTTAAACATGGATACGATTGAGAATAGCAGACACTAAACAAGAGATCCCAACAGGCAATCTCAAGCTTTTTAGTGGCGATAATTTCATCTAGGTGAGCAGAGTGTGTATTCGTTTCCCAAACCTTAAACATTTTAATACTCGATTTCATAGGTACTAAATACAAATTTAAATTGCTCATATGTCATAGTAGGCACAATTCATTTCGTGGCATCCACGCAATTGCCGTGATAAAATATTTACCTAATAAAATATTAAATATAGTATATGGTATAAATGCTTTATTGTTACTCTGAGATTTCTCAATTAGGCAGTTAATCGTAATTATCACAATATATAGCCTTTATCAAAAGAATGTATTTTGATATATATATNCAAAAAAGTTACATAAAATATTGTTCATGAAATAAATTTCATATTATAACAATATATGATTGCTTCGTTTAAATATAATCAGATATATTGGTTTAATTTCAAGCAATAAATATATTATATATATATATATATATATATATATATATATATGGTGTGACACAAAAAGCTGCCATTAATCTTTTTATGTTATTTCGTTTCTATAAGACAACTCCTAATTAATTATTCTAATCGAAACACTTTCTCATACTTTTAAAAAGCCACAACCTGCTCTTAAATCTATTTTTGCCTCAAGTATGCATAATTATAAGTAAAAGACATTTTTCCCTTTACTCTTCGTGGGAATCATTCGACCTATTTCATAAACCAATAGTAATTTCTAAGATTTCCCTCTTTTTCCTAAATAGAGACATTTTTCGGATTTTTTGAAAGACTTTCCCTGCCAGAAAGACTGCTCGTCGAAGGAGTAAACTTCAAAATTACAAAAAATTCTGAAAGGTTTGGTTTTTAAAAGGTTACCACTCTATGAAATATTTTTCAAAAAGAGTAGTAGTTGGTAGGCCTGCATTTCTAAAATTAAGATTCGCACGCTATGAAATTTATGTTGCCATCACTTCGAAAAAAATTCTCATGCCGCATTGATGTAAGTTGTCACCTTTGTTAATATGTGATCATAGTCCACCACTATTTACGATTTTAGGCTTACAAGTCATCATTGATAAGATTGAAAAATACAATATATGATACTATGCATGACTGAAACTGGAGAACGTCAGCCTTGACCGGTGAATGTCAATACACAGCACATGTGTCTGTCAAAGATCAAATTCTTTATTATATTCTTGTGCATTCAGACCATCACAAGGGTATATCAATAAGATATGAAATACTCTGATGAAGTTTAAATAGAAAAACCAGGATCTGAAACAAAATTCAACAGCAGATGAAATGCTGCACAATTGTATGCAGGCTTGCTTTCTGGTGTATAAAATAATTAATTTTAGTGAACATATGGATATCAATTGCTTTTGAAAGGAAACCAGAAATAAAATGATTTTGCAACAATGTTTTTTTTCTTTTCCGGGGTATATGCAGACCTAAATGTGTATACTGTGTTTTGGAAAGTAATCATAAAAGAACATTGATGTAGGGAATACCGAACACCAGCATTTAAACTTAATTAATCATCAGTGTTTGAAATGCTTGCAAATGTACACCGGATTGTGGTACATTATCTTTAAAAAGTATCACAGTAAAAAATACAAGGTAAATATATGCATGACAGAGGCTGGTGAGTGGAACTTTAGAAAGATTGGAGATTAGCTTGGTTGGTGATTGGAACTTTAGAAACATTAGTGTAGGGCAAAAGTATGCCGGCAAGTGTATAAAGAACAAAATAGATTGAAGAAATAACAGAGTTAGATGACATCTTTAGTGTAAGTATAAAACATCATGCCTCCTACAATAAAAATAGAAATGAAATCCTCTAAAAACTAGTTTTTTTTCTTCTCGTTTACGAATAAATGGTAGAAGCTTTTGTTTGGTGATTGGTTGTTGAAATTTTGATTAAAATGAATGGGAATGCTTCTAAAATATATTTTACAAAAGAAAAAGAAACATAGTTACTAATTACTATTTAATTCTGTAGTAATTAGTTATATAAAGTTACTATTATTATATAAAGTAATAGTCATTAGTTATAGAAGTTAGTTATATGACGATACCTTCTTCAGGTTCAGTTCCAATAGCTTCTGGATCCATGTTTTCTGCAGCAAAAAAAGTTCGCAAACGTTCCAAAGCTACGCCAGTCTTGAGAAATGAAGAAAAAAATATTTTGTAACTGTCATAAGTCAAAAGTAACTTATATAGTAACCACAAATTTATTTTTATTATAGTATAATATAATATAATATAATATAATATATATGTGTATATTGAGACCAGTCTGGGCAACATACTAAGACCGGCATTGCTACAAAAAAATTTTTTTAAAAATAGCTGGGCGTGTGATGGCTNGCTTAAAAGGTGCTTATTTTTTGTTGAAAAATCTGGCTACTCACCGTGTTAATTTAAAACAAATTCCAGCTTTACCCTAATTATTTCTGTGTTAAATTGACCTATATTACTATTTTTCAAACTGGAAGTTTCATTTATTATTATTTTTTTTTTTAGATCACCGTGGAAGCACCATTAGAGCATCCTTTTTTTGTATACAAACGAGGCTGGTCTTCATGCTCTCCAGAACGATCGGCACAACGTTATGGGCTTTCATGTCACAAATTAAAAATTGGAGACACGTGTATTTCACTTACAGATAAAAGTGATTTCGAAAACTGTGAACAGAAAAACGTGAACTCCTGTGAAACAAATCTAAATACGTTAGATAAAAATCAAAATAAACTTGAAAAACCTACAGAAGACTTAAAAATTGAATCTGAAAACTTACCACTTATCACAAATTCTTCTTTAATGGAAAAAAAGTTAAAGTTGATTGCAGAAAAAACATCTTTTAAAGCAGATCAATCTACAATATCTAGAAAACGAAAAAGACGATGGTCAGCCCCTGACAATCTTTCCCAGAATGAAGAAGGTTCCAGTTCTTAATATAAATTGTAAATTTTTTTTATGCGTATTTACAGTGTGACCCATAAATGACTGACATTCTTCCTTGTATAGATGGTATTGCCATCTGTTGGAAATTTAACTACTAATTGTAGAAATTTATGAAAGAAAAATATTTTATTTTCTTATTTAATACAAGATAAGCAGGTTTTTTTCCCCCAAAAGCCCTAGTTAGTGATTATTAAGTTTTAGATTTTTTTCTTTCTGTTTCATATTATAAAATTGACATTTATTCGATATTTATAGAGCCGCATTCAAATTTCTGCATTTAATTCCAACTTATGAATGGAAATTGCAAAGCAGTTTTTAATGTTCAAAATAATTCAAACTACTGAATTCTCACTGTTCTGAATTTCTACTGTAGAAAATGATAATCAGTTATAAATTAATTTTTGTATTTTCTGATTTTTTTTTATTATTTTTTTTTATTCTTACTTCTATTCCTGGTTTTATAAATTAAAACTGTTTCAGGATTATTAAAAGTAGGTGTTTTTAGCTAACTCACTATAAATATAAATATTAACAGATTTTAAAAAATAGATATTTTTAAATAATTCAGCCTATCTGAATCTTGAAAATTATTCTTTAAAAGTAGGCTAATTGTCGGAAAAAAAATTCTTAACTACTACTTTAAAAGTGTATTTAAGACTTTTTTGTTATTGATATAAGATATTTATATATATATATATGTGTGTGTGTGTGTGTGTGATAAAATGGGAAAATAGTTATGTACAATATTTACACTGTTTGCAAAACTTCTTAGATAATTTACCACCCTATAAGAAACAGGCTACTAATGGGCTGTGTGTAATATTTTCCTTTAAGAATTCTTTGCTGAAGATATCATTGAAACTTTGCCTTGTCACATTTTTCTGCTTTACTAAAAAAATTGGCATTCAGTGAGGCAATGTATTGTGAGAGTTTTGAAAGATTTAAGTCTTCTCTTATAGTTAGATTCCTAACGTAGTAAGGAAATATTGCAATGGATTGCAATATTTTATTAGGTAAAATGTCAAGTTTAATAAGTGATCTGGAGTTGTGCACTATGCTGGTGATGCATAAGTGGTTATCGGTCTTATGCTTTTTATATATAGTGGTGTTTTTAGGTGAAGAGGAAATGAACGGTTTCCTATTAGGTGGGCTCAGAGCTTAGAACGCTCTGCAAGCTTTTGGGATGTTGTCTTTTATATGGTCATTCCATGTAAGTTTATTATTTAATGTCAGGACAAGATATTTAGTTCTTTCATCACTGGAACACTTCTCCCCAACAATAACATATGTGTCTCCAAATTATTGTATTAATGAACAATCTTTCATGTTAACTTTTAGAAAACAAGAAATAAACATATGACAGAAAATGAAATACCACTGTAATAATTTGAGGGACCACTGGACGCTCTATTTGTAGTAAAAAAAATAAATGAATAGTTTGATTATGTTCACCTGTATCAATTCCGAAATGGATTCGGGCAAAATGAACAAGCCATACTTTAGCTGCTCCATGAGAGTGATTGTAACAAATGCTTTCGTTGGATCCAAGACATTTTTATTATCCATAAATAAATAGGTAGCAAAACTTGCCACAGAAATCTATGGAACAGCATAAATATTTTGTGAGTGAAGCCAAAATCTACATTGTTTGTCTATATAAAAAATTGCATTTCTAAAAAAAGAAAAGAAATTACCATAATAACAAAGCTCTTACAGACTAAATTGACACAATCGGGCACGGCAAACATTAAAAGTTTAAAAGACTATAAAGAAATTATCTGTAATGAATAATTTCGAGAATACACCTTTTTACCTCATTGTATATAAAGGATCATCTAAAAAAATATTCTAAATTTATTTTCGTAAATGGAAATTTTAGCCATCATTTCGTTGAAAATAAATTGCATTTTAACTCCATAAAAAATAACAATTGTAAGAACAAATGTAGGTTCTTGTACGGTTACGTTCTTCATCCTCAGCCATTTACCGCTCGTTCAAGAATTTGCTTTCACGAAGGGATTTCTAGATTTAGAAAAAGAAAATTCCCTAAGATGAGACCCAGCCACCAGCCATTGTTATGAAACAGATCAAAAATATTAAAAGAAATTAAAATACTTATTTACAATTCAAATATTGGTCTGTGATATCTTGATTTTTTTTAAAAATTTAATGTGCTGAAAATTTATATATAACATCCCTTCCCGTCAAGGGAAAAAAAAGATATTTTTTAATTATTAACGCTTATTGACTAACTTCCACTTAACTATCTACTGAATTTACAAGTTAATCGAAGCCTCACCGCCTCGCAAAATAATTGTTTATAACTCATGAGTGAAGACTTGTATCAGAGATGATTTAATCGCAATTATTGAAACAATTCACTTGGATGAATAATACCAGTCATTTTGTCTGCTCTGCTTATATCTTCACATTTCCTTGGTTATGTGAGGTTTGACAACCATTCAATTTTTCTTCAGTTCATCGGAAATTTGGTGACAAAGGTAGATATGGTAGGAGTCAGGAGGTCGGGTGTCAAGTAGATTCACGTGGCCTCAAAGACTGAGACAAGCTGTAAGTCAGGACAAGTGAGGCTCCGGATTCCTCCACCTTTATGTAACTCGGCTTACTATACTCAGAACTACTGGATGATTGTTACTTACGAGTCTCTGGAGCTCTCGACCATGATACATCCTAGGTTTGTTACGCTGTGATGACAAGTCTAGAAGATGATGAAAAACTCTTACTCATTTGCGGCAGATGTTATAGATGGCTGCTATTTACCCAGACAAACTATCTTGGCCATCGGTCAATGTCTTTGATTTCTAAAAGATTCGACTTCTCTCCTCTACAATGGGTACCGAGCTCGGATTAACCTTCAAATCTCCTCTCCACCAATCACCAAGACTCATCCTTGCAGCTGCTTGATCCAGTTCAGCGCTCGGCGTTGAAAATTCGAAAAGCAGAGGAGGGAAGCTCCACCTGGTATTCGTTGATAGGTTCTCGCGACGTTACGTCATTCATCCCCAGCCATTTACCGCTTATTAGGGAATTTACGTTCGCGAAGGGATTTCCAGATTTATAAAGGGAAAATTCGCTAACACGAGACCCAGTCACCAGCCAATGCTATGAAACAGATTAAAAATATTAAAAGAAATTAAAATACTTGTTTACAATTCAAATATTGGTCTGTGATGTCTTGATTTGTTTTTGAATTTAATGTGCCGAAAATTAATATATAAGAGTGTAGTGAATATGACTCAACACAACCTTCAAGCCTCAAGGACAGCACAATTTGTTAAAGAAACAGTGATTGAGGATGCTGAAGTTTGCGGGGAAAAATTCTAAAATAAGGCTTTAACTGAACAACTTTAAAAATCTTTATTTTTTCAGATGGCTCTTCAATTCTGACGTTCTTAGTGTCTTCGACATCCTCAAACCTTGGTCCTTAAACAAATTTCAAAAATCTAGAAATTTGCAGTTTTTCATAAGAGTATAGGAATATAACTCATCAACACGACCTTCGAGACAACAAATTTTGCTGAAGGAGCAAAGATTAGGAACGTTGAAGTCAGCGAGAAAGTTCCTGAAATAGGACTTTTAACTCTTTGCACTCGGGGCTCTTTCTACAGTAAAAGAAACGGGCCCAGCTTCTCAAGGTTAAATAGAAGTATAAGAGTCGTGATTTCTCGGGGGATTGAGAGCTCGTCTTCCAATGAGATGAACCGGGTTCGACTCCCAGCCTTACTAGTAGATTCGAATTCCGCATCCGGCTTGCACTGACTACAGTGATGACGTAAAATATCCTCAGTAGCAGACAGATCATGGATTAGAATAACCTTGCATCAAGCAAACCGTAGGAGGTTTGGGGGGTTTCTCTCCATATAACGCAAATGCGATTACTTTTATAAAAAAAGTCCTCTACGAAGGCAAATTTCACCCAATACTTGATCCAAATGTTATCATGTTTTCTTGACTGGGCTCAAAATTTCAAGGATACGGAGTAGAACATTGGTATTCGTAAACTCGAAATTGGATTGGACGATTTTATAAAATAGTTGTATCACACGGCAAAATTTTTGCTTGCACGCTTACTGTATAATACCTGGAAGTCACTAAATAAAATAGTCGCTAAACATTAACACAACAATAACTATACACCAAAAGTGAATGTACACAATAATACCATGTGAAAAACACCTACACGATAAAACATTTGTAGCACATATTTGTTTATGCCAAGTGGAGATTACATTTCCACCACTTTAGCTTTAAAAAAGCATCACAGGTCGACTCCAAATATGAGTATTTGTGCTTCAAATAAATTGTGGTAGACCGAAATACCTTGTTTCTTTAAAATAAATCTTATGAATGACATCCCCTATACTACCCTTTTTTTGAGAAAGGGAACTTTTTTTAAAAGAACTTCTTTCTTCTTTTCAGCTGGGCACTTGGGCCACTATTTCATCCATCATGCTTGTTTTGATAATTGTGGTAAGAATTATTAAGTTAGCAGTCTGTGTGATGGCTGTCAGAACTTTTTAAGAGAAGGCTTCGCACAAATAGGTTAAGAAGTAAAAGTTATAGTATTTAGAGTGGTAAGTAGTTTATAAGTGAGAGTGGCACCAGGGAGGCGTCCTCCAATTGCAAAAGTTTAAAAAAGGTTACTGAAAATTTACATGGACGTACAGAAAGTACATAACGGCAGGTGAAAAACGCTTCAAAAAATATGAAATAGATATTTCGCATTGTATTTTTAGGGAGTTAGGGAGTATTATTGTAGTTTGTTTTATTGAATCAGTCCTTACAAATAATGGCCGCACTATATAAGAATATAAAGAATACAAATTTTCATGAGGTCAATATCTATCTTAAAGTCATATATTTATCTAACTTCTGTGGTGAGTAATCATATGTATTTAATCCCTTATTACCTTCTTTTTAACTATAACTAATAAAACAGTTTGCTTACCAAGATAGGTGCACAGTAAAAAATAAAAACATTGACTACTGTACACATTTGGGAGTATAAAATCAGTTTCAACTCTTTTCTTCTTTCCTCCGACACTTTTGCAGAAAATGCCGTTTCCCAGGCATATAATTTCAGTATCTGAAATGAAATAAAGATTTAAAATAAGTGAAATGAAAACTATGTGGCATAGTTAGCAACTTTTGAGCTTTTTAAAAAAAAATTTGTTCCAATTAAAAGCGAAATAATCATCTGGTTTACAGTGTTAACTCACATCAAATCAGTAAAGAGAAGTGATACTTGATGGGCTTGGCTTACTCGAAACAGAAGGGAAAGAACAGTTTCTAACGTGAACAAATGTCACGTTTCAACAATCAGTCAGAATCGAGATACCCACACTACATGACTTGCAGATATATCATTGCAACTATCTCGTCGTGACATTTTTAAATAGTAGACGTTATTATCCATATTCTTCAAGTTTTAATATTTAATTCGCTACCTACTTCGCTGCTAATTCACTACCAATTCGTTTAAATGATTTGCGGAATCATTGGCATCACTGCTGATATGGAAATAAGCATATTTTATAAACGTTAATAAATTGAGGTTTTCAAGGAAAATTGCTTTCATAATAAAATAAGAAGGAAATGCTCTATCATAAGTGTCTACAAATAGCCGTTGCCACATATTCATTTAAATTAAAAATTCATTGCATTCGTCACAAATACATTGATTTGAATTTTGCCTCTGCGTCAGTTCACTAACTGGTACTCTAATAATGCCACTAGAGGATGAATTTAAGATTTTTTTAAACAGATAGGTACAGATTCCACTCTACCAACTTTCTTCACTTTCTGGGAAAACTTCCCATAGCGTTAGCTAATTTTATTCTTTAATGCTTGATTATTATTATTTTTTTTTTTGTTGCAAATTTGATATTAAGATATTTTTGTAACCAACTTTTCTATATCTATTGCGCTGAAACTTTAAAATGTTGGGAAAATAACCTTAAATTTTTAAAGCTTTCGATTTTAATTGTCTTCCATGCTATAAAATATTATGCAAAAGGCATTGTAGTTCGCAGTCTTGCAAATACATCTGCCAAACATAGATATTGTGAGTAACATTCAATTGTAGTCTTGAATGACTTTCCTCGCAAATAATAGAGTTCTTGCCTGCATTTAGGGAAAACTTTGGTAATGTTCCGTTGTTTTCGAAAAAAGTTTTTAAAATTTCTTTGATCTGTTAGAATTTTAGAGCTTATTTTAAAACCATTCCTCGATTCAGTTAAAAAAAAATCAAATTTTTGCGATAACTTGGAATGTAGGAAAAAATTTATGTACATACCATTAATCTTTATTTAAAAGACCGAAAACTTGTAACAATCAAAGTGTTCATTTCTTTATAATTTTAATTTCTAAACTTTTTGTCTGGATTAAATTATTTGTTGTAGAAATAGCATCCACACAATCGTAAAAACATGATTGTGATTATTACCTTTGATTTGTAAGAAAATAAAAATGAATAAAAAATTCCGTAAAGATTGAGAGAATTGTGGATAATGAAATGGTTTTATTACATTATATAATGACAAACTTTTCTCACATATAGCTACATTTTCCTATTCTTATTATTTTCATTTTATGAATAAAAGAAGCATGATTAAGTCAGCTAAACAAGTTTAATTTTTTCTTTAGATGGACAATAAAATTTAAAAAAATTTTTCATAAATTAATTTTTTAAAAGAGCGCGAATAATAATTAGCAAATATATGAAGCCACTGTGACGATTGCGCAAAGATATTCATTACCCTTACAATTAACAGCTTGATATGATGCACATTAGTTTTATAGTTAACAATTTGAAATGTTGTTCATTACCTTTACCATTTGAAATTTGAAATGTTGTTCCTTAATCTTTACAGTTAACAATTTGAAGTGTTGTTCATTACCTTTATTCCACTGAGGATTTCATTCATAAACTTCAGTCGGGTGTCTTTAACTTTCATTTGTTCATCCTTTATAAAAATAAAACAAAAATACATGAGCATTATACATTCTGATTAACAATTTGCATGAAAACATCTTTATTAAAAATATAAAACAATGTGCATACATATAACAATCAAGGAAGTACAAATATAAAACAATGTGCATACATGTTCAAATCAAGGAAGATGATGAACTTAGAACTTACGGTAAGTTTTTCGCTGTATCTGGAGATGAAGTAGCCGATAGGGAGTAAGAAAATTATGACACCAAGACCAGCAAGTGTTGCCATTCCAATATACTGCCACATAATTACAAAGATGATAATAATTCTGATTGGGCAAGTAAATAGCTCTGCGCAGTAATAGGTGAAATTGGAAAGTCTCTGAATGTCTACTGATAGAAGATTGGATATAGATCCACTGGTAAATTCCTTACGAGCAGCCGGTGACAGTAAAAAGTTCTGAAAATATTAGAGAATTAATTGTTAATCATACTACAGTGTTCTTATTGCACAAGGCAACATTATTCCAATTTTTTTCTTCTATAGTTTGGTTCGGCTTGGCTGTTAACGTCGAACTCGAGTCACATTAATGGGTTGTTGTTGGTAGTTTGAGATTCATTCTTAATTATGATACAATAATAAATGCACGTGTGTATACTACAGCACCACAGATACATAGGAGGACAGATGCTGATAATAATTATCTGGTATCTAACCCCCTCTTGGAACAATAGCTAGTGGATTCTGAACCAGTCAGACACGATAAGTGCTGTACGATAAGGCACCCAGACGCTAGAACGGGGAATCGAACCCCGATCAAAGCCGTGGTAGACGAAGACTTTATCCACACAATGACTAAGTTTTTGTTTTCGGAAAGAATATTTAAACAATGCAAAATATACAGTTCGTTTCAGCTAACAAAAGAAAGACTAAAAATAATATATTGTGGATAATAATGACTCCTCTTAAATTAAAGTGTAACGGAACAATAAATAAATTTAGAAATTTTTTAACCTAATCATATTAATGTGACTCATTAGTTGTATTTTTTTTCTTGTAATTAAAATAAAAAAGTCTCTATTTACTATAAGTTTTCTTAACTCCTTATTTCTGCAATAATTATAATTTATTATCACAGAAATTATTGTAAAAACATTTTAATTTAGATTGTTGTTAAGCACTCCATTTATGGGATTCCTTCCAATACCTAAATATTGTCCACTAAGATATTGTTTCTATGCTGCTCGAAACAAAGGCAACCGTTATAAAATTTAACGTAGTATTTGTTAATCTACTCTTTATCTTTATATTAGTTTTTTTGTTTGTTTATGGGGGAGAAAAAATCGGCTCAATAGTCTATTTTCAGTGGAACTCACCAACAGTAAGTTGTAATAAATAGAAATGTATTTATTTATTTATTATTATTACTTTTTTTTTTTGGTAAGTACTTTTAAAAATGGATTAATTTTTCAGCGGAAATAGTTCGCTTATTTCCTCAATAGATGGTTGCACTGGTTGGCTCCTCCTATTAGCGAATTTTTTTTTTAAAGTTTTGATGGTGTAAAACATGATTTACCTCCAGATGGCACCACTATAATAAGTTTTAAATTTATTCACAATAGTAATATTTCTCTTAAAGTTTAATTATCTTTTTAAACAGAGATTTTTGGGTTGAAGTATATGTATTTAAGTTTATTTATATGTAATTAGTATTGTTTTTATCACTTTTATAAAATATTAGTCCATTTGTGACTGTTTTTATCATGGACCTTTTTTGTTGTTGTGACGTTCGCTGGTATTGCACTGCTGCTCGTAGGAGAAAAGGTCGGTTTAAGATTCAGTCGCTTGCTGATATAAGGATAAAAGGTGGGGAAGAATGGCTGAGAGGATGATGAACTAAAGCCGGAGTCGCTGAGTGTATGAGCTAAGGCCGGAGCCAGTCAGTGGATGAGCGGAAGTTTTGAGCGAAGTTACGCCAAAGCCGCTAAGTTGATGAATGAAAGTGATGAGCTGAGTTTGGACGGAGCAGCTAAGTCCGAATATGTTTGTCTATCCAAGGCGTTCCAATGCTGAAAGTCTGTTGATCCACGGGTGCTTACTGCCAAGCTGAAGCCTGGAAAGAGTTTGAGTGTGCTGTCTATCAGAAACTGGAATGTTGACCTGATCCAGGGATGCCAACTTGCTCCGGACAGCAAATATATATTTTAAAGTGGTAGTTTATCAATTGTGATTCTTGGTTTAATAAATTCAATTTAGTAGATTTTTATCCACCACTATTTCTAAATAATTTGTAGATTTATATGATTCACCACTTTAGAGTGCTTATGTAATGCTACACCTTTTAAGAAACAATCAAAAATAATCAAATATTTGCGAAATCTACTTGTAGTAATTTACCGCTTTTTTAATTATTTTGTCTTGTCCGGAGCAGTTGGCATCTCTGCTGATCCACGAGTCGGGTGGCAATACCGGTGGGCGTTCCAGGGATTTGGTCCGTAATTTGATTTGAATTTAAAAACTCCAAGTTCGATTTTAGTACAGTTTTAAAAGAATAATTTACCTTGACATTTAATTGCTTCTACTAGATTTTAAGATAAATGTGTCTTTTATTCTTAATTGTTTTTACTGGCTTTGGAATATTAGAATATTGAGGCTTATATGTTTAATTGCATTTCATTGAAAGTATAATTTCGTATTGCTAAATTTTAAACTTGTAGTAACTAATAAGTTAGAAATATGTTATAGCTACTTGTTAGCATTTGGAAATTATTTGATTTTGTTTTTGTTTGAAAAAATGTAATTGGTTTCAAGTAATTCTTTGTTGATTTTTTTTGAACCTGGGTAACACTGTACCAAAGTTAATATATTAATCGCAGCATAGCGTAAAACCCAAATTTTAGAAGTAACAGTACAAAGTCAAACTTTTATAAAATAATTTTGATGTCCTGCTGTGTAAATTGTCTTAACTGAGTCACCATTCCACTAAGTCTCCTTGAAACTAAGTCATCAGTATAAAATTCAACGTATCATTTCTCAATCTTCTCATTACTTTTTTAATTATTTTTTTAATTTTGCTCATGGAGGAGTAAAAGATCATCTCAATAATCTATTTTCAGTGTATGTGATCACCAGAAAGTTATAACTTATATAAAATAGTTGTGATGCCAGGGTTTCATTTGTATTGATTGCCAAGCAAATCACGCGACATAACATAATAAACTTGTTTGATTATATTGTTTTACCTTTCTATAAACTGCATTCATGAGAGCTGACTTCATCTGAGCACCAGAGTTGAAAAAGTAATACCCTGCGAAATTATCGAATAATTTTCCCGTGGTATCGACTATGTAAAACAAACTCACATACAGCATACCTCTCCATGCAAAATAATCATGCTCAACAAAATCTATGAGACGACTGGAAAAAAAATAATAATAAATAAAAGTTTTCATGTTTATAAATTATGCACAAATTAAAAAAAGTATGTTCACCTTATTATTCACGTTGTTTTTCAAAACGTTGTTCTGTGTTTTTCAAAATTTATTGTTGAGGTAAAAAAAAAAATTTTCTTTAATTCTCTAAACCCTCAAAATCTGATTATCCCATTCGGATTTTTTTATTTTTAGCTGATTTTCAGTAAAGGGTAAAATAAAACTTTAGCATTCTTAATTAGAAAATATTTATCACTATTGACTTTTTATCTCTGTTATATCAGTTTTAAAAAAATTTGGTCGCCATGGATATTTTAATTTTTACAGAGTTAAATTTTCCACACTTGTTTTGCTAAAATATCAGGTCATGACGAGTAGTTTTAAAATTATCGATTTTTGAAATCGAAACTATAATTATAATCACCCCAGAGTGCTGCAACCGGGGAGTAACTCAACAAAAGCTCTGGACAACCGCGGGACCGGCCGTGCATCTACATTTATTTAATTTATGTTTGAGCCGTCTATATATGGACTAAATGCTTAGCTAAGTCATTATCTTACTCTGAAGAGCCAAAAAAAACTGGTACAGGCATGAGTATGCAAATAAACAGGTATGGAGCCAATCAAAGTACAGCGATGCGATCGGCAACGCGTATATAAGACAACGAGTTGTCTAGCACAGTTCTTAGATCGGTTACTGCTGCTACAATGCCAGGTTATACAGATTTAAGCGAGTTTGAACGTGGTGTTATAGTCGGTGCACGGGACATGGGACATAGCATCTCCGAAATAGCAATGAAATTAGGATTTTCACGTACGACCATTTCACGAGTATACCGTGAGTATCGGAAATCCACCAAAATCTCCAGACATGAACATTATTGAACATATTTGGGATGCCTTGCAACGTGATGTTCAGAAGATATCCCCATCCCCTCTTACTCCCACTGGTTTACGGACAGTCCTGCAGGATTCATGGTGTCAATTATCTCCAGCACTACTTCACACATTGATCGAATCCATGTCACGTCGTGTTGCGGCACTTCTGCGTGCTCGCGGGAGCCCTACGCGATATTAGGCAGGTATACCAGTTTTTTTGGCTCTTCAGTGTATATCTTATCAGATCGAATGTGTCAATGAGATCATACGACCGCCGATAATGAGTAACTATTAGAACAATTCTAAGTGTGACTTTAATGTCATTGCACCAATTGCTTTTTATGGCACTAAGACCTATGAAACTGGAGTTTTTTTTAAAATTTTTTTAAGAGATTGACCGGTGTATCAAATCATATTAAATTTGAAAACGCCATTATGTTAGTTACTTTTTTGAAGTAGGTCCTAGAAGAACTGAAACGATACAGTGTAAAAAATTAAATCAACACCAATGGGCTTCGTTTTAAATAGTTTTAAAGGAAATGTTATACAAAGAAACTAACTTCGTTATTCAAATATTAAAATTTCATTTTAAACTTATTAAACTTTTTTTTTTTGAAAACAAGGTCCATGTACCAGGTTTTGCTTCTTTCCATCTTTTGATATAGATAAGTTTTCAACCCTGTTCGAGACAAGAGTTGACAATGCAACATTTTGTACTCACATAAAAAGAAACTTCATAAAAAAGTAGTAGGTTATTTGTTTTTAGGCAAATTTGATTTTTTCTTTTTATGTCAGCCTCTTTAGTTTTAAAATATCATGTTCTCGTAATATGGGTAGTTGTTTTTTCATATATTTTAGTGAACACAAATATCTGGCTCCTCCATTAAAAAGAAATTTAAGAAATGAACAGGTGAGTTATCAATGAGAGAAAAGAATTCCGGGGATTGTTGGCTCCTAATACTAGATGAATACAGATACCTTTTTGTAACGTGAAAGTAATGGTTGGAATATCTTAATAACCTAGAATGTCTTTTTATGCGTTCCTTCACTATTTATATTTAAACTTAGCAAAGGCTTGTAAGCCGTCTCTGTAATAAATGCACGCACGACCGAATTAGTACGCATAGTTGCCAATAACTACGGATTGTCTGTTGTATTTCATTTTTAGATTAAAAGTGGCAATGAATTTAATAATTTTATTTCAATCTTTGGATTTATGAATTTCTTTTTAATTTTTGGATTCATAAATTCCTTTATTATTTTTGGAATTATAAATTTATTTTAATCTGATATTGACCTCTACTAAAGGCAAATGAATCAATCTAATATAACTGAACAAGTAGTCATTGAAACGAAAATGAGTGTAAGCCATAGCAATTGAGAAAAGTTAATTTTATCTACAATTGTATTTCAAATAATTTTTTACAACTATTCGGAAAATACTTCCTCGGAAAGAGTAAAAGTTGTCAGGGATGTGTAAGCGTAACAATAAGAAAATAGGTGAAAACAGGGTACCAATTGTCAAGGTACCAAGGGTAGTTAACTAGTTGAAACAACAAGATTGATTATTCCAATGCATAGTTCTCATGTGTTTGATAAATTTTAAGAAAGGAGATATCCTTGTTGATTTAGTATATATTTAACCACCAATCAGAGACTCCAACTTTTACGGATTCTTCGTAGCAGATACAGATTTTTCTATTTATTTGAAAAAGTTGTTAAGAAAAGTATTTTTTCTTTTCAAGAGTAAGAAAATATCGCGAAGTTTTTTTCTAGTTATTTTTTAAACGAAGAGAAAGCAGTTACATATTAATTTCTCTTGTATTCTCTATTGTTTAGGCTCAGGGAAAAAACTATATTTCGTCTTTTTTTATGTATACATATTTTTTTCTTTTTTGATAATACTTTAGATCGGGTTGTTCAAAATGGTTGAAAACACCTAAAAAGCATTTTCGTAAGTATAATTAAATATAATGAATAATAATCGAAACAATAATTTTTGTTGCAAAATATAGTTCTTTTTAATGCACCTTTAGGAGAAATGAGTGAAGCAGGAAAAATTCTTTTACAAAATTTGCCTCTTTTTAACAAACATAAAAAAATTTAGAAAGCTTAGAGAATTATAAAAGTTTTGAACATTACAATGCACTTTGTTTCTAAATAAAAAGAATTTAGGAGTACCGTATTGCATTCTGTTTGACGGTATAACCAGAATCTTTTCATTTCTACACGAGTGAAAAAAATGAGATAAATTAGAATTTCTAAAAAAATTAATCTCTGAATTTATAGTTTTAAACAAAAAAAAAAACTATTTATACTAAAATGTAATTGATTGAACTTTACCGATTTGCACCAGCTAAAGCATTTAGCAAATTAAATATAAATAGAGCACAATCCCAGAGTTTCAAACATTTTTTTTAAAATTAAATATTCAAACTAAACATCAGTATACTATCTCAGCATAATTTTTAAAGAAACAAGCCTTTTTAACAATTCTAAACTTTTCTTGGATTATTTAAATAATATTTTTCTGTCAAAACAACTAGCACATTAATTTCAAAATATCACATACTATGTAGCCTTAATGGTAATTTTAATGTCAAAAGAAAATTCAAAACAATAAAAAAAGAAATTCGCCAAATTAACTGTAATAGATTTTTTCCCTTCCTGCAGAATATTATCATTTATAAATATTTATTTATTTACTTCAAATATTCAAAATAAATTAATCTTTTAAGTAACAAAATAAGAGGCAATGCCAGAGAGACATCTATTTCTATGCGAGTGAACGAAATTCAACGCAATGACAAATCACTCATCTCATAGAACATTGATTGAATTATTACAGCAAATAACTACGGGGGAAATAAAGGACACGCCTTTATGTAAAGATATTGAGAGAGTCAATTCGTAACCTCGAAGGTCACGGTCGAAAAAGGAAGTCGCGCCGATAGCAGCGAAAGCTAGGGAGGTGGCTCGAAAGTTAGGGGGCCAATAGCGTAAAGAGGTGCCTAGATTCTCGAAGTAAACTACTTGATTGGACGTCCCCCAAAAGACGATAGTAATTAATGCAGTAAATACAGTAGTTGGAAAAAAGAGACTATAAAAAAAATTGGAGCATTTTAAGCATTGGAGCATTCTCGTTAAATTATTAGATTTAAAACAGCTCTAAAAATTATAATAATCGAATAAAAATTTTATTTTCTCCAATGTTTAAGAAATAAATTGGAAAAAAAATATATCAATTTGAATTATTTAAATAAAAACATAACTAGTTTCAGAGCTATCTATTTTCTTGGAGATTTTGCAGAAATAGAAAACTTGTAGGGCCCCTCGCAACGTCTGGTGACGGGCCTGTATTAATTACATAAATAAAAACCAGGTCTTTTCCTTTTTTAAACTATGCAAAGATGGCTTAAAAGCAATTTAAACTTCATAAAAAAGCAGAAAAACAAATTTTTGGCAAGATAATTGAATTACAATTTTTGCCTAGTATTTTGGAACAGGCCTTTGGAAGTAACCTGTTATTTTTATAACAGGTATGATAAAATAACAGGTACAAAATACCTGTTCTAGAAAATATTAGTCATCTTTTTTCCCGATGAAGTATTTTCAAAGCGGTAGTGAAATATTAATTGAAATTCAGTTTTAGATAAAATTAGCTTTTCCAGTTTGCTGTGAACTATACTCATTTTTGTTTCCATAACTTACTCTTATCTAAAAATTTTAAGTATTTTCGCATAATGGCAGACAAAATCTCATTAACTTAAAATTTATAACACCAAGAATTAAAAGAAAATTTGTAGTAGAAAATTTATAAAATAAATTACCACTCTAAATTTAAAATACTATGGACAATCCGTAGTTTCTGGCAACTATAGTTCGAATAAGTTTTTTTTTTTTTTTTAAAGTTCTGTTTCGGAAAAAATCCGCTTAGTTCACTACCACGGAAAGAAATAGTTCGCAACAATCTCAAACAGATAAAATCTCTAGCCTATGTACGTTGTTTCGAAAACGAAAATTAATGCATAAAGAAACAATAACATAATTGACTTCTAAATACTAAGGTGGTACATATGAAAAAGTTTCTATTTACCTAAACGTAAATTTACAGCCACTCATAAATATAAGAAGGAAACCCTGCAATGTCCATTGTAGACTATTGGAGTCCTTTTTAAGTTTTAAAATAGCACATTTATTCATAACTTTTGCGAAGTAAATCAAACGAAATTTTAATATAGTTCCCAGAAAGAAATTGCGGTCAGTATTGATTTCATGAAAGTATTTTTAAACTCATCATTGTGAGTAACTGTGATATAAAAAATAACTTGCTAATTTTGAAAAAAATAAATTTCTTACGTCTGTTTTACATCGCAGATATGACACAACTGTTTTATTCTATTTCTATTTCCTTTTTCTTTTTTCAACAATACATCAAGAATAGCAAGAGTTGTATAACATGCACCGCTATAAAGCTTGTAAACATCACAAGTGCTTGGTGATCAAATCACTATGTTAAAGGGAATGAAAAGTAATTCCATAGCTAATAGAGTGCTTTTACTTATTTTTTCTTTCTTTTTTTAACGCAAAGGATGCCAGAGCACGCAAATTTGGAACAATTCTATTAATAAAACTTAATTATTGGTTTCTTAATTACATACGTGACAACTTCTTTTATTAATGATCTCTAGTGTTAGTAATATAGAAATCGCATTACTATTACAGTTAAAATTATACTTTTTTTTTCGTAAAAGATAAAACACATTTTTTTACTCTTTTTCTCTAGAGCCCCTGAATAAGACAGGCCGACTCATCATCTATTTTTGCTCCAAAGAGCTAACATAAGCACAATACTAACATAACGTTAACTTGCGAACTTTTTTGCGCCAATATTGCTTGATAGGTCAGCTCTTTCTCCTTTTTTAACGATTACGTGCCAAAGCATGCATTTTTGAGACAATTCTTTTAATCAAATTTAATCATTGGCTACTCAATTACTAACCTTCCAACTTCTTTTATTAATGGTTTTCCCCAGTTTTAGTAATTTGAAAATTGCAAATTACAGACAATAATATACATTTTTTCGTAAGACACATTCACATTTTTCACATTTTTTTTACTCTTTTTTTCTCATTTTAACAATAAAGTGCCAAAGCAGGCAGTTTTGGAACCAATCTTTTGATAATATATTATTATTGGTTACTCAATTACTAACCTGCAAACTTTTTTTTATAAAACTTTTTCCCAGTTTCAATAATATCGCTCATGGGCACAACTCAAAAAACACGAGTTTTGGACTAAGAACAGGTGTAAATAGGAAAATACGTATTCTGTCAGCAGCAATGCTTGCACAAATCATAATTCAACTTGACGGCAATAGTCGTTTAAGCAAACGAAAGCATTTCTTTTGCATTTTGCTTAGCAATGAAAACTTTAAACCCACTTGATTTTTTAAGGTGTGCCGCTATTGCAGCCAATGAGCGATATGAAAATTGCATTACTATTACAGGTAATAATATACTTATTCAGAGATGCCAACTTGCTACTACAAGTTTTACTACTTAATTCACCACCAATTTATTAAAACTCTTGACGAAAGCGCACCAGTTGACAACCCTTTACATTTACTTTCCAAGCATATTTGCTCCTTATCCCGTTTTGACCCGAATTTATATATTGAAATGATACAAAAAGTGGTTTTATGGAAAAAGTGGTGTAATATATTATCGAAATTAATTGGTTTTTCTACTGTTAAGACATTCAAAAAGTCATTTACAGATCAAAAAGTACTTGCTCCTTATAATTCTAGATCTAATCAGAAATAACTAAATCATTGTGGTATCTGAGAATCTTTTAATTCACCCAGATAAATGAAAATGCGGAAAAAAGTTTCCCACCACAATGAATGTCTTTGAAAAAAGGAACTGTCCTATATATATGACTCTGGGCGTTAACCGGTTAAATGAGTACCAAATTACTTCAAAAATCCAGGGTTCACGCGCTCATGAGCCACGTAACATTTTGTAAGGACGCTGCCAACACCAATCACATTAAGTTATCCTCTATTTAATAAACCGTGATTTCATCAGTGGTATAATTTTACTGTTGTCCATCTACTCAAATTAACGCGAAATTTTTTGTAACAGACTCCCCGTTCTTGAAATGCGGCAACCAATTTCGACAAAAACTTCAACTTATGTGTAGCTACTAACATGGGACGGAGGAAGTTATAATTTTGTACATAAAGGGTTCAAAAGTATCACAAATCCAATTCTTGTTACAATTTTCTGGAGTGCTTACCTTAATACCTACGATAAAATAAGAAACAATACGTAACTTACTCTAAAATTAAAGGTGGTACCAGCAAGGCTAACGTGAAAAGAAAATTAAAAATCGTAGCTGCCACTATCCAAGGCCAGAAGGTAATGATTAAACTTAGTCCTAAACTTCGAGATTCAAGAGATTTGGGTTCCCTGAAAAATTTTGCATGTCAGTAAAAAATCACAGAGAGACATCATTCATTGAACAGTTTAGTTACTTTTCTTATGTTCATGATTACGTACTTATTTATGTTCCATCTTTTCAGGAATTCTGAGTATACAAATTTGGCCAATAGCCGGACACTTATGAACTTTAGATCAAGTACAGTCAGAAGCTTTCGTCTACTTTCAAAGATGTACCTGGAAGATAAAAAATTTGTGGTTATGCAGAGAAGTTGATTTCATAAGCTTATGCAATCAAATTCAAATTAGTATTCATCATGTGACTGAAGCAGGGATTGCATAGTAGCTTATAACTGTAAAAAGAGTTGACAGTTAAAAAGAAATCTACTGAAAGGGATTAAAATGTGAATTTTTTTCTATGTTTTTTTTTTTCCTTTCAGTTTACCAGCGAACAGAATTGAAAATAATATTTTCGTATTAACCCATAAAACTTGTGTAAGTTAGGGTAGTAATTACAATTGAAAAATTCCATAAATTAAATAAAAGGAAATAAATTTTGTTACTACCACTAATTGCATTTTAGGCGCATGTAACATCCTTCCTAATAACGCAACTTAAATAACTAATCGATTTGAAAAGAAAAATTTCATTTAAGTGTGATTTATTTCAAAATAAAAAGCTGACATTATAATATTTTTCTTAAAATCGTGAGAAAGTGATAGCATTTATTTTGCCAATCTTTGCGGTTATCATTAAGTTTACATATCATTAATATTACATTAATGTTACATTAATATTAATATATCATTAATATTACATACTACATCATTAAAATTATAGTGACAAAGGTCACTTGCCTATTAGACCAAATTTTATTATCGAGAATTTTTGAATATTTTTACTCTAACGTGTGCACGAATTTCAAATGTTTAAGAACTGTTTTTCAACACACACACTCCTTCAGATTCCTTACTGCAAGATGAATTTTACATCTAATTTTTAATTTTTTGAATGGTTAAACGAAAGCTACCAACTTATGCTCTTTTAAAAGAACATTTTCCTATTGTTAGGGATCTTAAATAATTTCACGTCATTAATTTCAAGTCGGCAGGCTGTTTCTCTCTACAAGTTACAGTTCTCGAGCAACTTAATTCCTTAACAGGATGTCTTAAAATTCATACAAGTGAATGCCAAGTGCCCAAATTTAAAAAAATAATTCTTGAAATTTGAATATTTTCTTTTATAGGCGTTGAGAAAATTTATGTTATATTCGGAAAATATATCTCACGTGTATATATTAANTTATTAATAAATTTATTTATTTTTTTCGTTTTCCTTTTTGTTATCGCATAAGACAATGAAGTATAAAATAAAAGCAAAAATATAAGTATGATTTATTAAACTAGATTTGATTTTTTTCTATTTAGTTCTAATATAATCCTGTTAATTTTTGTCAGTATTCTTGTATACTATTTTGACGGTTATGAAATAACTTTAAACATTATTGCTAACGAAATAGTTTGGTTTGGTTTTTTTTTCATTCTGATAATCACCTAATGGTTAATATTATAAGTCGAAATACAGAATTAGGAGGAAGAATTAAACTTATCTGGGTCTTATAGTATAAAATTTTAAACCTACTTGATAAACCAGGACATGGAAACGAAAGAAATAAATGATACATCTTCCATTACTTTCGTATCCTAGAGATTAAAATTAAATATCATTAGCAAGAAAAAAAATAGTAAGAAAACATAAATGCAGTCTGTCTGTACAGTTCTAACGCAACAACGGAAAAAGGTAGGAGAATATATCTTTCCCCGTTGCCGAAAGCTACATTAATTGATACATTTAAAAACAAAAGTTTAACTAACTAATTAAATTGAAGTAGTATGTTACACCACAAAGGCCCAACAAAGGAAGCGATGATATCGTGAGGGACGTGACATAGTGACGTGAGTTTTCGTCGCTTTATCTTCTCGTTGGCAACGGGTAAGACTGACAATATTTGCACACATTTTCTTAGCTACCTTTATGTTGGAGGTAGCGGGTTCGAATCGAGCTGTTGCACTTGATGTATCTTCGTGCTGTCCATCTCCGAATTGTGCTATCTGTCCTTCTATTTGACAAAAGTTTATAAGCCTAAATTGAGCACACAAACCTGTAAATGTATGTACTTCCAATAAATCGAACCTTAATGTGCCTTTTATATTTTCGAATAACAAACAATTAAAATACGAGTGATTGATATAAACTTAAAGCCTGCCTTATCACTTTCTGTATTAATTTTAAAACTTTTATGAACTTTATTTTAGTTGGAAAATTTATTTAGTTTGGTTGAAATTTTAAGCTGCACTTGGTTACCTGCAATTCGAAGAAGAAAAAAAAGACCGTTTAAATCGCATGGCTAGGTTTAATATCCCACTGAATAGATTTTCAGATCAGATTTTATCGGGTACCTGCAAGCGACGTTACGCCTGGTTATTAAACCTGATTGGCCACTAAATCGCGACATAAACAAATGCCGAGATTCAGCTGTCAATCATGTTCGATATCCAAGAGTGGCGTCACTTTCAAATATCCAATCATTAAGATGCCGCTAGTTTGGTTATTAAGTTTACAGATTTTCAAATAACTCAAGGTTTAAATTCCATTTGTCTAAAATGAAGCTAATTTATAACGATCAACTGATATTGCAACAAAATTAATTATATTCAACTCACATCTTGTATGTGCGTGCTTTTAGTTCATGAACTTTGTTGGTCACTTTTGCAGGCAGATTTGACCAAAATGGAAAATATGTAGAGAACAAAAAAAATTTATTGCTCAGTTAAAAGTATTCTGTCTAAGTACGCAAAAATGTTTATCTAACTCGTTTAATTTGGTTCTTGCAACTCGAGGAGAGGACGATCATTGAAACATATACACATGACCCATGGCATCAGCACCAACAGAACGTTTATGAACAAGAGGGCGCTTTAAAGTCTAGCTAACTTTCTCTACATAAGTTAGAATGTTCTACATGGCTTCATGCCTGTTTTTGTGTTAAGCAAAATATATATAATGAAAGTAATGAAATCTTTGTGAAAGAATCATTGTGAAAGAACATAGAATGTGGCACTTAAGAGAATTGCTTATTGTGAGGCTTGCTTATTCGAAATAAAATAGTAAGAACAGTTGCTAATGTAAACAAATGCCACGTTTCAATAACCAATCAGGATCAAGATTCCCACACTACGTCACCTCCAGGTTACCCATTACGTGAGAAGAATCCAATTATCCCAATAAGAATTCCAATTAAAAGCGAAATAATCATCTGGTTTACAGTGTTAACTCACATGAAATCTAACTCAAATCTTAGTGAAAGATTCTTTGTGAAAGAATATAGAATGAGTCAGTAAAGAAAATTGATACTTGACGGGCCTGGCTTACTCAAAATAGATCGGAAAGGACAGTTGCGAGCGTAAACAAATGCTATGTTTCAACAACCAATCAGGATCGAGATACCCACACTACGTCACTTGTAGATATCTCATTGCAATTATCTCGTCGTGGCATTTTTAAAGAGTAGGCGTTATTATCCTTATTCATCAAGTTTTAATATTTAATTCGCTACCAATTCGTTTAAAAGTTTTGCAGAAAGCGGAATTTACAAGTTTACAAAAAACGTATAGTTTACATACTAACATAAACACTTATCTGCCCCTTTGAAAATAACACTTCATACTAAAAACATATCACTTTATCAAATTGTATCATAAACTGAAATGTATTATCACCTTTTTCTTACCACTTCCTATGTAGCAGAGAAGTAGGGAGACTTAGTAGTCATACATGCTAATTTTAAAAAAATCCTGGTTAAGAAAATGTTGTTAAACTGCATAACTGTAACTTTATGAGTGAAACTGATTGCAGATTTAAAATCCGTCAAGTGAAAATACATAAGATCCATTTAAAAACCATTTGCAACTAAAGGCAATGTTGTTAATCGCTTACCTGCCAACTCTTCCGGATTTTAAGGAAGATTTTATTTTCATATTAAAAGTGGTAGTAAATATATACTATTTTTTTCTTTTATAAACGTAATTTTTAAATGATTTTGATCACCACTATTCTTACAAAAATTAAGCACATATATTAATATGCTCTACTATCATGGTTGTTAACTTAAGTTTTTTAAAATGCAACGTATTTGTTTGCTTAAAAGTTTTAATTTCATTTTAATACCCCTGGGAAAAATGATAATGGAAGAGATTAAAAGTTGGCAGGTATGTATCGTAGTAAATAATGTATGTTGGTATTAAGGGGCAGTTATTTTTACCCAAAAACTGAAGAAAACTCATGTGTTGAATACCTGGAGAGAATCAATACTCCTCTGATCTGCAAACATACTTAAAAACAGCTGAATATATACGAATAGAGAATAAATCATGTTGACAGTGAAAATGATTTCTGATGACGGTTTTTTATCCTAAAAAAATAATAATTTCAGATTTAAAAACAAGAAATAATTTTTTAGATAGTAAATTTCACAATACTTTTATTATAAAACGTGCTTGCATCAGAACATTTAAAAGAAACATTAAAAAATTCTTCATCTCTTTGATAAAAACATTGCCAAAAATTATTAGGAGAATTTTAAGGCCGTCGTATTGCGAAATGATACTTTTTTGCGAATAATATGCTATTTTCATAACAGCTGTAAGTTTGCAACTGTTACTCATGACTGTTAGGATAAGTTTAGACAATCTAAAGTCAGCACTGTCGATGCTTATTTTGAAAAAGGCGCAAAATTTCAATATGGAGAGAAGTCACACTTTTTTAAAAGTGAAAAACGTGTGTGATCTATTTTTTTTTCTAATATTTAGAAACTTACTCCAATGCTGCAACACTTGGGCTCATAAAAATTTGCAAAAACTGAAAATAAGGCAGTGTTTATGATAATTTTCACACCGGTGGACAATTGTAACTAAATTGGCAATTTTAAAAAAAAATTAATATCTTTTAAGATTATTAAGTTATTTCACTGTTCCAAAGCCCAGATAATTCTTCGCGGCACGATTATATGTGTTACCCGCAAAGTATGAAACGCCAGCATTCTGTAGAATGCCTAGGCATTGTATATAATGCTGGATGTTTTTAGGCAAGGTATGAAATATGAGAAGTATTATATACTTTCCCTAGGCATTGTATTAAATACTTAGGCATTCTATAGAATGACAAATGCTATTTAGGCAAAGTATGAAATAACATACTGATGTGGTTATTATGTAAATAATGTTCATTTCTCAAAAAATAAAAATATTATTCCGAAAAAATAATGAGAGTGCCATTAAAAAAAATTTATTCAAAATGCGTAAAGAAAAATTAAATTTGTGCAAAACATAATTTATGTGTTTCTTATTAAGGGAAACAAAATGTTCACATAAAAAATTCACATTTATGTCACAATTATTTTTAGTTTAGAAACAAATATTGCACAAAATATCCATTTTATCACCTTTACTAAAATGGCCGCAGAAAATTTTATACTTTGCCTGTTTTTAATTTGGCATTCTATAGAATGACAAGGAAATGTGTGAAACATAAATCATTTCATACATTGCAAGCTAATTTCAGGCATTATATACAATACCTAGGCATTCTATAGAATGCGAATTTTAAACTTGCTGGTAACATATCGCTTTTTCAAAACTACAACGACACTTCTGCAACTCACTTCTCATGTTATTTCAATGAGAAGTGAGTTGTAGAAGTGACGTTTTAGTTTTGAACCAGCGATATATTTTTTTTTATCGCAAAAGCACTTGACTTTACATCATTGGCCCCCATGCATCAACGATGCATGAGATTGGAGCATATAAAACAAAAACTGAACCATTGAACAATTCAAGAACAATATAATAACAAGAACAATAAATACTTGAAAAACGTGAACCACTTAAACATGAACGAGAATCAGTCGCTGGATACCAATTGCATCAACTCCCTAGCTCGCCAATATCGACTGAGTAAATATTCTTCATTTAATGAAGAACAACTGAGCAAATGATCTTTGTCCATCTCAAAGTTCTGGTTGTACAAAGTGCACATAGAATAGCCAAATATACCAATTCTGTATAGATGTTTAGCAAGGCAGTCATGTCCAGTCTCCAGACGGAACGCCGCCACTGCAGTGGATCTAGGGGAGTTTGGAATTTTATCAATTGAATACCTCCATTTCTTATTCTTGATTTCTTCTACTAAATTAGCTTCATAGCTTTTCTTCACAATATTTTTTATAATTCCTTTAATTGATGAAAATGGTACTTTGGCATTACCTGCCAGCAAAATTTCTGTTCCTTTCTTTGCTAATGTATCTGCCCATTCGTTACCATTTATTCCTACATGAGATGGAATCCACTGCAGAACAACAGTCCTTCCCTCAGAAGCTAGGAGATTAATATTTCTTCTGCAGGAGTCAATAATATTTGACTCTGCAACATTATGTGCAGCAATAGACTGGATGGCTGATAGAGAGTCTGAAAAAATAACTATGTTGTCAATCTGAACTGATCTAACCCTGATTTGTTCTGTTGCAATTCTAATTGCCTCCAGTTCTCCACCAGCGATATATATGATTTAAAAACTTCGCATTGCTTCAAGTGTAAGGCACTTAAAATATGGCTTTATTTTATTTTATTTTTTTCTTTTCCTTGGCGACAGAGCTGTAAAAAACAGCGTTAAGTCAGACCAATATTGTTAAAATTGTTTACAATGTAGCCTTAAAAGATTTTTTCAGCGTACATAGAACAAATTAATCTATCATTTCAGACAAAAATATTAAACCTTAATCACAGATACGTATCTCAACATTTTACTCATTCGAAAGAAGATTTTTCTCTTTATAAACTATTAATTGTACTTATTAAATATGCTTATTAAATGTAGTGATGCTTACTAAATATAATGATACCTACGAAATAAAAATAATCTAATATTGCTGATCTCTGTAACACTACGCCACAAATCGTCAGAACAAGCCAGGAAACTGAAAGAGGATATGAAGTAGCCACTCCACATGCCCTATGTCGAAGCATAAGTTTTATGGTTAAGATCTGAAACGGAAGTAAGGTGACTAAATATTATAAAACAACATTACTTCGAAAAATTATTAAAATAAGCTTTAAAAACTTGAATTCGATAAAGTTTTCAAATTTTTATTGCTAAAAAATATATAAAATTAAGTCCTAAATGCAGGTAACATGTGAATACTTACGCGGCTATTTAAAGGATGAATGCTATAAAGGTCACAAACTATACATTCTTTTAAAGGATATAAAAAAGAATTATTTCCATCAAAGATATAAAAATAAACTTAATAAGTCGGTTACTGTTGACATTAAAAATTATTAACTTACTTTGCTTTTAAATTATATGAAAATGATTCTAAAATGTTGAGTAATTTAGAGATTAGAAATAGAATATTTGCATTGTTTTAAATGGATATAAAAATAATTCTTAAGAAATTGAATATTAAGGAGGTGACAAATTGTATTCTTTCATTGTTATCAATGATATAAAATTAAGTTCAATTTGCTGGTTATTGTGAACATAAAAAACTAAAAACTTCATATATTTTAAAGAATATTAAAATTATTCTTAAATGTTAAGTATTACGGAGGCTGCAAACTGTATACTTACATTGCTTTTAAGTGATATAAAAGTGATTCTTGAGAAATAAAATATTATGGTGATTACTAATTGTATCCTTACATTATTATCACGAATAGAAAAGTAAGCTTAATATGTTTTGTTATTTTGGACATTGAAAACTATTAACTTATTATATTTTAATGGATATTAAAATGAGTCTTAAATGTTGAAAATTCTGGAGTTTGCTAATTTAATATTAACATCGCTCTTAATGGACTTGAAAATAAGTCTTAAAATTAATAATATGGAGGATACAAATTTAAAGCTGATATTGTTTTTAAAGTATAGATGAATTGTACCTACGAAAAGGAAAATTTTGGAAGATGAAGCTATAAACGAGGAGGAAGGAACACTGACTTCTGAGATTTTCAAATGGATATATGTACTGCACTGAATTATACTTATGATCAGAAGGCTAAGTGACAGCACCTGCAATAGTTAAATTCAAGTAAAATTTTTAATATTTAGAAAAAAAGAGAACATGACATTAAAATTGCATAACAAATTCTGAATCAAAGCAGATAATGAATTTCTCTTAAGCAAATCAGTATCCAACAAATTTTATGTAATCAGTATTTTTTCATAAAACAATGCTTATTCCGTTCTGCTATTTAGTTACATGGGTTGATTGAAATAAAGGAAACTTTTTTCTACTGACACTGTCTAAACAATCTTTCTTTAAGCAACAAAAGATTTGAAAGAGTTTACATGAGAAATTTGCTGACACAATTTGAAAACTCATGCTTGAAGCATTAAGAAATGATGTCCTTTTTACCCACGCAAATTTTGCCTTGACAAAAATGACCATGGGAAGTTGAAAGTCTCTTTTCTTTTTCAATATAACTTCTATATAATTATAAAAGCATTGTTCTATAATTATTGCAATCCTAACTTTACATGGGCAGAAATAACATAATTTACAAAAGCTTCAAGCATGATCTTTTAGATTGTACCAACAATTGTAACATGCAAAATCTTCCAAAACATTTGAAGCTAGGAGAAAAAATTTTTGAGTTAAGTTAGTATAAAAGTGTTTGCATTATTTTGATTAACCCTTGTATACGGTACCTGCCCCGTAAATCTGATGATACTGTACTGTTATTGTGAAGAACCAGGTTCGATACTGAAAGTGGCTGCTTCAAGCCCACCCAACTACAAATCAATGGGTATCAGCTCGTCTATGAAGCAAAGCCGGCCTGTGAACAGTGCTGACCGCATTACCACAATCATGTCGTTGGTATTGAAATTATTGAATACTAGTTGAAATTAAAAAAATAATTCTTTGCTAAAATTTAAATTCATCGTAAAATTAGCTTAATCGTAGTATATTTTGACCATCGTGTCACTATCAATTACTATTCAACATCAATATTTTTGGTTTCGAATTATACTGAAATACAGTAAATCTCGCTTTTCTTAAGTTAAAATTCTCTTCTTAATCCAATAATGTAAAATCACGAGGGAATAGAACAAATAAGAAAACAATAAAAATTAATTCTTTCTTTTAATTTTGTCAGTTTTAAACTGGCTTTTCAGTTTATGTGCATAATTGAGTACCGTTAATCAGTACAGGATTTTTTATTCTCAGATTTTTTATTACTCCATGCAAAAAAGAAAGAAAAATATTTTTAACTAATTATTCAATATTGCAATTATTGTCCTGTTGTATTACTTAACATTATTTCTTACAATTTGTCTACATCGAAGCATTTTTTTCTCCAACGCCCACCTTTTTTTAGAATGACCCACCTGGGCATCATACAGGTATTTGAATGGCAGGTTTGTTAGTCACTCTTTCAGGAACACCCTATTAGGTGGGCCAATGTTGCTCCCACAGTAAGGACAGATAGTACAGAGAAGGAAAAAACATCCATACCTTGCCCGGGTGAATGAGCTCTTACCTCAAATTTGATTAAAAGTGTTATAAATAGAATAAATCCGTCTACATTATCCAATGCAAAAGAGCCACTATGATTAATTTTTCTTCCCTCTATTTAGATCAAAAGCGTTATGAATGGAATAACTGCAGATGCATAATTTAATACAAAAGCGCCACGATGATACATTACTCTACCCTCAAACTTCACTAAATGTGTTGTGAATGGAATAAATACCGCTACATAATTTAATGCAAAAAGCTGCGACGATATATTTCTCTGTCAAAAAATAAACCAAAAACATTATGAATTGAATAAGTGCAGCTACATTATCTAATGCAAAAGCGTCACTGAAGTATATTTCTATACTCTCAAACAACAATAAAAATCTTTATGAAAGGCATAAGTGGAGCTACATAATGTGGGGCAAAAGCGACAATACCGAAAATTTCTCTGTTCGTGTACAAGTCCAAATGCTTTACGAGTGGTCCCGGACTAATCAGTGTCTACACAGAAGAATGGGCTGTGCTCAAATAACAGAGGGAAAAAAATTAGTTCATTTTCTAAAAGAAAGATGTAGAATCGGACAAAATGTTGCTTACCAGTTTTGAAATATTCAGCCACGTCCATGGCAGTGGATTCAAGCTGTTTCGTTTTCTTAATCGCCAAACGCAGATGAGGAATATAATACTGAAAATCGCTGATGGAGTAGTTACAAACATGATATCTTGAAAACATTTTGAAAAATCTGGTACTTGTGAATTCCATGTTTGATTTGAATCCTAAAATATATTTCTTTCAGTAACTCTACATCATTTAAAGAAAGAAAAAGTGTTTGCTAAATATCAAATTATTATAAATTCTCATAAAAAGATGAAAGTATATTATAGAGTTTAGTAAATTTATTCATTAATCAAGAATTGTCAAAATACTATTTCTGATATATAACGCTTATAACATAAAACTAATATACAGCTTATAGAAATGAGTTTACTGTCTGTGCAAACATACTTTTTCGTGAAATAAAAAATTACTATGTTTACGCATATTTAAGGATATACTCTGAAAGAGATGTTTCACAATCTTCCTACAAACCTATTTTAAAACCTGACAACTCAGGCTGGCGCTAAGATTTTCATTGGAATAATTTCCAAGAATGAATAAAATGTTTGTTAATGGCGAATTAAACATTAAAATTTTTGAAATTAAATAAATTCTGCTAATGTTAACAGTTATTTTAAAATTAATAAAATTCTGCAATTGATAACAGTTATTTCACAACAACTAAAAACTTTCGGATACCAGTTTGACATATCTGGTTACCGATCTAATACGATAAATTTTTCTTACAGAGAAATTTCTTTATACCATAAGAGTTAATGCTGGCGCTGGTCATAAATGAACAATATTTTCGAAGGTTAGTCTCTCTCTCTCTCTCTCTCTCTCTCTCTCTCTCTCTCTCTGTATATATATATATATATATATTTATACACTACCGGTCAAAAGTTTAGACTCACTCTTGAATTTTTAAAAATAGACAAATAACAATTAAAAATGACTTCTTTTAAACTGAAAATTACAATAAATTAACTTTATTTTGAAAAATGTAGGTACGCATATATGGTAAGAACTATAATTTTATGCATAACTTATGAATTTCGTCCAATGTTGGATTCATCGAAATATCCTCCTTTAGCCTTTATCAGAGCAACACATATTTTTGGCATTCTTTCTATTAGTTTTTGCAATGTTCTAGCTGATATCTGGTTCCAGCAACTAAGTAAAGATTCCCAAAGCTTGTTTTGATTGGTACACCTCATTTTTGAAACATTTCTATCGAGTTCATCCCACAATAGCTCAATAGGATTAATATCAGGGGATTGAGGGGGCCAATCCATGTATTTCAGTACTTTTTTTCTTTTCATTTGATGCAATGCAGTTTCTACACAATTTCGATAAATGTTTTGGATCGTTATCTTGCTGAAAAACAAATCCTTGACCAACGATTCTCTGTCCACATGGAAAAGCGTAACGCCGCAATATTCTGTGATAATATTTTTTATCCATAATACCCTCTATTCTTTCAAGATCTCCAACTTTTCACCGGCAAAACATCCCCAAATCATGACTGAACCTCCACCATGCTTCACAGTTGGTAGTAAACATTGACTTGTCATACGTTCACCAAGTAAACGACGAACTAGTACTGCTTTCGTTTGCTTCCAAACAATTCAAATTTTGATTCGTCCGTATACAAAACCTTTTACCACTGTTCTAAGGACCAGGTAACATGTGTTTTAGCCCATTGCAGTCGTTTTACTTTATTTTGTTTTTCCAAAAGAGGTTTTCTAGCTGCTACACAATCTTTTAAGCCATAGTCACGAAATCGATGTTGTACAGTAGATACTGACACAATTTTCTGCTGAGTAGCATTCAATTCCTCACAGATTTCTAGTGCTGTTCGAGTCCGCTGCCGCTTACTTTGAATGCGTATAAACTTATCCTCACGTTTGGATGTTATTCTAGGTCTCCCTGATCGCTGGCGGCTCTTATTTTGGCCAGTTTCTTTCTTTCTTTGCAAAGTTCTGACAATAGTGGTCTGAGAAACATTACTTTTAGAGGCAATTTGTCTACTTGAATAGTCTTCCGCATGTAGTGCAATAATAACTGCACGTGTTTCTACACTTATTTCTCGTTTTTGATCCATATTTCTGTAAAAAAATTTGTAAAAAAAAATTTATTTTTGTTTTTAATATATACCAGTTATTCTGGCTAATTAAGGCTATTATATCTATTTTTAAAATTTGTCATGTACATGAACATAACTTATAATTAACCCCACAAAAGAAGATGAAAAGTAATTTGTTTATAAACTAAGAATTAATAAATTTTTTTAAATAAATTACACTTGTTTTAGAATAGGTACTTACATGCAATTTCGTTCATATATATTCGTTATATATATACATACATATATATATATATCGTGCTTAATTTTTGCATCTTGATATTAGGATTATTAACAATAAAATATTCATTGGTGTTTACGATAAAAGAAAAGATTTTAAATTTAATGTTATTAGCCTAACACATTTTTACTCAAACTTGTATTATAAGATTTTTAAAAATATTGTTTTTGGTAAGTATTAAGATTCAAATTTATTTGTAACAACCGGACAAATTTTTTATCAGCTATTGGGAGTTTAAAAATTAGTTTGAAGAAAAATAAACTTCCTTTTAATTTCAATAATTTTGATGAATTGATTCGAAATATTTTAAACATTTTAGATTAGTTTGGCCGATATTGAAGCCCGTATGAATAGGCCTATGCGGTGAACACTAAGGATTTTTTTTCCAAAACAGATGGCAGCACTTGAATTTTTATTGCTCATTGATTAGATGTTTTTACTTTTCAGGAATTCCTTCACAGGTATCAGCACTTGAATTTTTCTTTTAATGATTCAGAATATTTAATGTTGTCACTTTTATTAACTGTTACTTTACTTGGATTTGTTTATATTGTACTTTAAGGAGGCGTTTCAATCAATTGTTGATTTAAAATTTGTACCTTTTAGGTGCGATTCTTTTTCAAATTTATAATGATATTTATTTGTGGTCAAAGTTTTTTTCTTGTCTTTTCATTAAGGGGCCTCGGGGCACTGTTAGTTTTGGTTAACTCCACTAACAACAGAAAGGCTCCTGTGTGTTTGCAGACAGTGTGTCCCCAGATGAAGTACTGTTCTCCAAACACACATTTATATATTATATTTTATTTATTAGTACTTTTAATTATTAATTATTTATGTCTTATTTCTAGTTTATATTATACAAATTTGGTTTCAGCTGCCTAGTGCGCTTTTTTCCTCTTAGTTATCATTATAGACGTAGTAAATTGTACTGATTTTGTGATTATATATATATATATATATATATATAATCACAAGAAAATTTATGCTTTCTATATATTCCTTGCATTTATAAACTAAATTTATAATCTTTCTGATCACCACTATTTTTTAAAGAAATAAAGTATATATATAATGATATGGAATACGGTTGTGAAAATTCATTTCTATATGTATTAAAATGATACAAGAAGTGGTCTTACGGAAAAGGTGGTATAGTATAGTATCGAAATTAATTGGTTTTTCTACTGGCAGGGCATTCAAAATATCTTTGATAGATCAAAAAGTACTTGCTCCTCTTAATTCTAGATCTAATCAGAAATAACTAAATCATTGTGGTATCCGAGAATCTTTTAATTCACCCAGATAAATGAAAATGCTGAAAAAAGTTTCCCACCACAATGAATGTCTTGGAAGAAAGGAACTGTCCTAAATATATGACGCTGGGCGTTAACCGGTTAAATTTATTTGTTTAATCTCGCTACTTCATTTTAATTTTCTCTCAGTAAATGTAACTGAACCCCAACTTTCACCATTCAGTTACGCTTCGACGATTTATTATTTATTCCCACTAAGATGAATTAGTTAGAGAAAAGGCAAATGGCAATATTCGTTCGTTGTTGTAGAACTGAGCATTTGAGGCCTAAATGGCCCTTAGGCAAATGGCAATGATCCTAGTCCTAGTGTTTTGATTTTATTGGGCACCTGGGTCGCGAAGCGACCCCTATCCCATTCATCCGGAATTTTAACACTGTTATGGCTGAGCATTGAGGTAAGCAGGAAGTGGAGTTGCTTTTATGAATGTTTCAAGCACTTTGCTTGAATAACTAAAAAGGAATCAAAAAATTAAATGAGCAGCTTGCTCTATAGTTGTGTTTGTTTGATTTTGGAGTTGTTCAGAATTGTATCAGCATGAGTAAAGGTTATTTTCAGAAAGGTTGATGAAATTATTTGTTTTGATAGTTATGATATGAGGCGTCGGAGGTGAAATGTGCAGCTATTGGTCTGTAGTTTTTATCTTTGATATAATTTTCGAATTCAAAGATTTCATTAAAATTTGCTGTTTTACATTCTATGGCTTTATCGAAAAAATCTGCGTTTAGCTTGTATATATGCTGTGATAGAGTTGGTATTTTGAGGTCTGTATGTATATTGGTATTTCGGATGAACCATCTTGCTCAAGTTATTTTTCTGAGGACATCTACTGAACAACATCTACCAGGCAGGTGAGGCATAGGTAAGAATTGGGCGAATCATTGCTGTATATAGTAGCTTCTTCAGTTTAAGTGGCATATTCTGATTATATATTAATGTTTGTATGGCTATTATTGCTGCATTTGTTTTATCCATTCTGCTTTTGATATGATCATTCCAGGTGAGTTTTCTATTAATTATAAGGCCAAGATAATTTACATTTTTAACTATTGGTATTGGTATATTGAACATTTTTGGTTGAAGTTGTAGAAGTATTTTAATTCTTCTTTTTTGTATAATTAATATTGTTGATTTTCCAGCGTTTACTGCAGTCTTCCATTTCATATATATGGTCCTGTAGTTTTAACGGCAATGATAGTACCACACATTTATATATATGCTTAATTTTTTTTTAAGAATAGTGGTTGCCAAAATTATTTAAAAGTTTATAAAAGTAAAAATGGTACATATTTGTGGTTACTTTAAATATAAAAATAAAATTTTACTCAAAATGCGTAAAAGTTGGGTAGTATGTACATGTATATGCAAAAATAATTTTTATGTAAGCTTTTTCTTACTCTTTAAAAAGCAAGTCATGCTTCTAATACAAATTTAAAAACTGACTTGAAATTTCATGACAAGGAACAAAAAGTAAAGATTTTTAATTTTCTGTTACTTGGTTA